AATAATAATAATAATATTATATTTTAGAGGATAATAAATATAAATATTATCATTTTTAGAGGGTAATATTATACTATTATTTTTTATTTTTTATTGAAAAATACTAGATTATATGTTTTATTATGAACTTTTAGCATAAAAACAGAATGCAGATTTGCAGATGATGCAGATTTTTTTAGGTGCACTCTTGTCATAAATTCATCAATTACTCTTCCTACATAATTTAACACAAAACAGGGGTAGAATATCTATTTAGAAGTCTTAGACCTTTCCAACGATATATAATTTGTCATAATTAGATTAGGATTTAATAGAAATATAGTGAAGTTACGAAACTTGGTGACTTTTATGGCATTATGTATGTGAACACACAAAAAAATTGAGGTCATGATCTGAGCATGCTAAGTGGTCTTAAAAAAAATAAATAGTCACACTTGTGGTCTTTGGTCAAAAATGACCCCATAGGAAATGAATGGAAAATTGTGAATATTTGTTTTTTGTCATTTATTTATAAGAAATAGTTTTTGAGATTGTTTCAACTATATATACAAATCCACCACCAAAAACAAAAAAAATGTGTTCATAAACAGCTGGGGAATTCACATGCCTCTCAATAGAGAGCTGTACATGCCATCTAGTGATTACACCACGATTCTACACTTTTTCTCTATACTGTAACCAGATGGTGCTAATTTTCTTCAAAAAAATATTTTTTTTCTGAAGGCCTAGACTCTATATTAAACTAAAATACTGCATTGATATTTTTTTGAAAAAAATAATATATATATATATATATAGAAAATAATATATATTTTTTCATGGCAAAAATAAACCATAAATATTGCATAAATATTAATAAATTAATTTAAATTGTCTCAAAATACTAAATTAAAAAGAATAAATATTACAGAACAAAAATAAATTGCATTGGTTTTACTGGGATGGAGAAAGTTTCATTTTTAGGTGTCCGGTCACTTTTGACCGGAAAGATAACAAGTGTGACTCCGAAACGAAGAGCACCTGAGGGTTAAACAATACCGTTCAAAAGTTTGGAGTCGGTAAGAATTTTTATTTAATTTTTTGGGCGAAAGAAAAAAGAAATCCATACTTTTATTCATCACGGATAAATGAAGTTGATCAAAAGTTACAGTGAAGACATTTATAATGGTACAAATCGATTATCTGAATCTTTTGTGTGTGTGACCGACTATAAATACTTTGCTTTAAAAGTACAAAGTAATGACCCATAAAAAATTAATGTACAATATATTTTATTAACATTGCAAAGAACCAACAGGAAAATAAATGTGTGCCTGAACTAGGAGCATACTTGTAGTAAATTAATAACATAAAACCACCGGTACAGCCGAGTGTTTTTCCTCTTTTGGCTGGAAACGTGTCGTATGGCTTCTCATATTTGTCGTGTTTCCGTCATTAGTTTTATTCTACAAAGCTTACATCTAGTGTGGCTCTTGTCCAGCTCCTTTCCCTCTTCAACTTCAGAAGCCAAAATATGTCCAAGCGTTTGGGTGTTTGGACTTCGCTTTCAGCCATCGCGTCTCTGTTATGCACACGCATATTTATTATTTATTATAAATATATATATAAAAAAAATTCTGAAAATCGATTTTTTACATTTGTGAATCGATTCAGAATCGTCCACGTCCGCATCGTGATGCATCTAAGAATTTAAGTGGTGTGTTTGTTAGTCAGCTAAGTTTGGTTCACAGCTGAAGACTGAAGAAGGTGTAAAAGCGGAGAACAGTGGGTCGGTGGCACCGGCTGCAGAGATCGACGTCGAGCTGTCTGACAGTGACGCGGAGCAGAAACAACAGCAAGTGCTGATGGGCCACGCCGCTGAGGAGTACGACACGCCCGCCGACTGGGACTCTAACAGCGGTCAGTGCGCACTCAAACATCTGTCAATCAAACTCTTATTAGGGCTGTGCTTTGGGGTCAAGGTCACACGTTTGTTTAATATTACGTTTGTTAAAGCTGCAGTCGGCAAGCTTGGCAGATTGAGTGGACTTAGGCAAAACTCTCGTGCCCCTCCCCACCATCAACAGATACCCTCCCACAGAGTTTGTGCTCGTCAGCTTCTCTGTGAACGCGCCCGTCACATCAGCATCCATCATCATTCTTACAAATACCCGAACTCTATTCCTTCATCTGGACATGTTTACACACCTAACACGGATTTCAGTGCAAACAAAGCTAACGTAAGCACGTAACGCACATTTGGGCAAACATAGGCTACTTGGATTACTAACGTAACACTAAAGGCCCGTACACACCGGGACGAATATCAGCACGCGTTACTTGTCAGCGTTTTACAACACGTTTTTTGTGGTCACACCCAAGTGATTTTCGCTGACGATGAGCCGAGTGAACGGGAAAATTCATTCCCTGACACTAGATGGCGCCAATTTGCTCTGCAATACCACTCCATATCAGTTCATGTTTGTAGTCCCTGTCGCGTTTGTCATATAGTTCTTTATGTTCCATCACCAACGAGACGAGCTCTGATAAGGGATGAACTGTGGAAGTTTATCTCAAACACACACACATGTTGAAAAGCATTCAGCTCATTTATAATAAAATGAGTTTTTCAGCTGGGTTGAAGAAAGATTCGGGGTCTGGCCTAGAGCAGAGTCGGTAAGAACTACTATCCTCAGCACGCGTCGGAGCGGGGTCAGGTGCGGAGCGGGGTCTATCTGTTACAACGTTCTCTCTAACAAAAATCAGCGATAGGTGTTGTTTTACCATCCGCTGCGTGGTCTGCATCAATCACCAGAGTAGCTGCTGCGAATTAGAAAAAAAAAAGAGAGAATTAAAATACGTTCATTTTTTAATGCATCAAATGTTCCAGATGAGCATAATGAATCAGTGTTTAAAATACACACTGCCTGACATAGAGGATGTGTTTAAATAAAACACTATAACAAAGAATGATTAAAACAGTCATGTAGATCATTTTTAAAACTGCATAATAAATGTGGTAGATTTTTCGATATCATACTTTATGATAAATGAATACATAGAAATACACTCACCGTTTTGCATTTTTGATGACCCAGAGAGAGCGGAGATGACGAGCTGAGGGGAACTATTAAAGCCAGAGGGTCCCAACTCTATTTATTAGTCATAACAAATAAACGGAGAAAAACACAGTTGTGTCCAATCGCATTATGAATTATGGTACTGTATCTGTAACCTGACCGTGAACTGTGAGGTCCATCAGAACATGAGCTGTGTTTCATGCTCGACTCCCTACGGATGAGATAGGCGTTCAACAGATTGTAACTGGAGAAGAAATGATTAGCAACACACACTACCTTTTATTTTGGAAGGAATTATAGCCTTGTTTTTTTTAACTAAACATAGAAATCTGCGTGACACACACACAAACTGCACATGTCTGCCTGCGCGATAGAGAGAATCACTCTGTCTTTCTTCAACCCAGCTGAAAAACTAATTTTATTTTAAATGAGCTGAATGCTTTTCAACATTTTTTGTGTGCGAGTCAGTCATCAATAAACGGTGAGAAGTAGGGGAGCGCGGGGTTAAATGTAACACGGTCCTTTTACATAGTTCGTCAGGATCAAGCCGGCTGTGTTTCCGATATTTTTCTCTCGTTGCCAGAAGACGGTCTCCCGCAAATTTGCGGAAAGTTTTGATTATATTTCGTGAAGATACTTGACAAAGAGTGTTTTGACACCATGAAAGTACATTTTTTCGGTTTCTGAGTGGGGTATACGCTTCCAAATCTAACTTTATATTGCCTTAATCACTGTCTTGTTGGCTCAAACATAGCACCGTTTTGAAACATGTCAGCAATTCCTAGCGACTGTTTGCTAGGCTTAAAATATGTAATACACATGACGGCAGACATCGCGAACAATGTTTCTATGTGCAGTTTGTCAACATATAACATATTTTTGTCTAATGACTGTACCTAACATTAGTCGTTCGCGGTCAAAACACTGGTATAAACACAGTTTGATGTCGCGATTTTCAATGCCCAGAGCCTGTTAAACTTGAGCCAACCAACCCTGTGACGTCACCTGCACAATGGCGGCGCCCTGGCGGCGAAAGATATAAAGTTTTTTCTTTTTTTCTTCTAAATGTTTACATTTGTAATGTTTCTTATATAATTGTTGATTATATTGGAAATCCATCTTGTAAATCATGTAAACTTGATTCACCGCTTCATTTCCCCTTTAAGGCCCATTCATGCTGTCAAACCCCGGATTTATCTCATTTTATCACCTTTGCTCTCTGTTGAACCCTTTGATTCTATGCCGAAAGGGGCGGGGCACCTGTCAATCAATCATTTTTTGACATAAGGTGCAGTGTATTACTACTTCAAATCAAAACTACAGTCAAATCAGAATTGAATTTGTGACAAACGAGCACTCAATCAATGGAAACGCAGACTGAGCCCCTCATTCCCGTGTCCCTCTGAGCAGTGTATCTGGGCCCCCCTCATCGGGATGTGAAGGTTCCTGGGTTTGCCTTGTCTGCAGCACATCTGCGCACACGTCCTGAGCTCATCGCGCGCTACCTCATCAAGTTCATCTTCCCAGAGGACGTGCTGGTGCGCAGTAATGTTTACGGCGGGGTGCGGCGCGGCATTCAGGCTCTCGACCACAACAAGATCTCTGCGCTAAGAGGTGAGGCGTCCGACTTTTTTGAAACCAGACGAGGACTAGTTCTCGGTTCCCAACAGCAGTCACAGCTTCTCTTCTTCTCCAGAGCACCTGTTGGAGCGCTTCCCCTGGATGAAGCTGGAGGAAGACGGAAGTGACTGGAAGGTGTGTGTTGGAGCCATAAACAGCACCATCCGCAAGTTTCGATACGAGCGCAAGATGGGCATAAAGAGAGGGATGCGCTAGAGCGGCTCCATGACATCGAAGCGAGATGCTAGAATGTGTGACTAGTATTTAATTTCAGTTGTGATTTATACTGGTTGTTACTTTAATAAGATCATTTTCAACAGATCTGAAAAAAACAACTTTATTTGGCATTGTAAAAAATATACAGGTGTATGAACACAAAAATTGTTAATATATGGATTTATTAAGAACAAAAAAGTTAATATATTATGCATTCAAAACTTCTCTTTCCTTAGAAACATAGCAGCTATAGAAAAGAGGAACACTGCTGTGGCACTTAAGCTCATTCATTGAATTGAAATGTGTATGTATCAGGATTACAACACAGAACAGACCCTGGGGAGTATGAAGGCTCATTTTGTGCGTCTCCTTCAACCTGAAATAAAGCACAGAAGCACTGTTTAAAACATGTGTCTGGCCCCTTGAACTACTGAATGAGAGTGTATTATGCAGGTCAAATATGTCCTAGCCGGTGTTCTGACGATTCATGCTACCCATCGAGATTTGCTACACTCTCAGAAAAAAAGGTCCAAAAGCTGTCACTGGGGCCGTACCTTTTAAAAAGGTATGCTTTTGTACCTAAAGGGTGCGTATTAGTACCTTAATGGTACATATTAGCACCTAAAATGTACATATTAGCAAATAAATGTCCATATTAACCCCTAAATGTCCATATTGGCACCTAAATGTACATATTGGCACCTAAAATGTACATATTGGCACCTACATGTCCATATTAGCACCTAAAATGTACATATTGGCACCTAAAAAGTACATATTGGCACCTAAAATGTACATATTGGCACCTAAATGTACATATTGGCACCTAAAATGTACATATTGGCACCTAAATGTACATATTGGCACCTAAAATGTACATATTGGCACCTAAATGTCCATATTAACACCTACATGTCCATATTAGCACCTAACATGTACATATTGGCACCTAAATGTACATATTGGCACCTAAAATGTACATATTGGCACCTACATGTCCATATTAGCACCTAAAATGTACATATTAGCAAATAAATGTCCATATTAACACCTACATGTCCATATTAGCACCTAAAATGTACATATTGGCACCTACATGTACATATTGGCACCTAAAATGTACATATTGGCACCTACATGTCCATATTAGCACCTACATGTCCATATTAGCACCTAAAATGTACATATTAGCAAATAAATGTCCATATTAACACCTACATGTCCATATTAGCACCTAAAATGTACATATTAGCAAATAAATGTCCATATTAACACCTACATGTCCATATTAGCACCTAAAATGTACATATTGGCACCTAAATGTCCATATTAACACCTACATGTCCATATTAGCACCTAACATGTACATATTGGCACCTACATGTACATATTGGCACCTAAAATGTACATATTGGCACCTACATGTCCATATTAGCACCTACATGTCCATATTAGCACCTAAAATGTACATATTAGCAAATAAATGTCCATATTAACACCTACATGTCCATATTAGCACCTAAAATGTACATATTGGCACCTACATGTCCATATTAGCACCTAAAATGTACATATTAGCAAATAAATGTCCATATTAACACCTACATGTCCATATTTGGACCTAAAATTAACATATTAGCACCTAAAATGGACAAAAGTTTACCTTTTGAAAAGGTACAGTCCTAGTGACAGCTTTTGTACCTTTTTTCTGAGAGTGTACTTACTGGTTAGGCACATGTGCAGACAGTTTTTTTATATATATATATACAAAAGGTACATTTTCCTGTTATAATGTATAATTTCCCTTTAAAAAATGCTTACTACCATATGAATATTTGTACGGTCAGCCAGCTGAAAAAGAATAACTGAAAGTTTCAGTTACTTTGAGGAAAGGTGTACTTTGACAAGTCAAAGATGAATATTTTATGCTAATTTTTACTTTTCACACCGTTTTAAAAATAAAAACAGTCGTCTACAGTATACAGTAGCTACTCATAACTTAGAATCGTATTATAATTGTATTTCATACGACTTTAATCGGCATTCTGTGATCAATTCGCGCTACGGTAGCATTTTGACAAGGCAGCAAAAAAATCAACAGACCATCGGCATGATGGAGAAACGCACCTCCTTTGGCAGATATGAGGTTTTTCCGGTTATTTTCTTAAGGTTTTTGGTGATGTTGTTGATCACTCCGAGACACTGTGCCCATGACACACCCCTCACGCCAACGTCAAACTGTGGGTACATCTCAGCCAGGAACTCTGAAACATACAAAGTGTGTATATATTTGTCATTTCCATTTAGACATGCTAATGGAGCACATAAAAAAATCCACAATCTACAGATTAATATTTAATTTGAAGTCGATTAACGGTAATACGAGATGCTAAACCAGACATAATTGAGCGTTTCATGGAGATGATGACAACTGCACTTACCTCGAAGGGCTTCTATTTTGTTGGGGTCGAGTTGCTGGACGCCCTTGGCGGGGTTGCCCGTGACCGCACTGCAGGACAGTGTGCTGATGGGGAAGAGAGCGTGCAGCACCGGCTCCACGGCCTTCTGCGGCTCCACCTCCTTAAACACCTCCTTGTACACGGACAACGGGATCCACACTTTACGCAAGGCGCTCCCGATCATGACTGAGGGGAAAAGGGACATCACGGATCAAACTCTTACAAGATTTGCACTTAAACTAAAGTTATTGAAGTCAAATTTTAAAAGGTTTTCTCCATTTTTTTTTTTTATATTAAAGTAAAAAACGAGTATAAGCAATAGTTTGCCATACATTTTTATTTAGTGTGTAGTGCCCTTCAAGCCAAGAAGCAGGCGAACCATCGAACGAACTCGCAAAATAATCTGCTGTAGGTCCACCATATTTTCCTTAGCATCTAAAACATGCTGCGACTTACTTATAATAATAATAATAATAATACATTTTATTTATTTGGCGCCTTTCTGGACACTCAAGGTCGTATTCCAAAATGACTTGTAGCATAGACATTATAAAAACATAAGTGTCTATTTTTTGGACATTAAATGCATTATACAAGTACTTTTAAACGTAATAATAAAATGTGACTGCTATACCGTTGCAATTTATCCGTTTTCTTTTCCTCTCAACAACTTGCGTTTGACCCGGTGTGACTACTCAGGTGGAAGTGATTCCCCGCAATATGATATATTATTGAAAAGTGCATATTTATATTAATATTTACAGATTTTTGTCCATAAAATGAGGATATTGTGTTCATTACTCCCACCCACATTAACTTTGGGTTTATTCACAGTTATAATCATGAGGGGGCCTTTGTAAAACGTTCAGCTCGTTCAGGCTACACATAAGTGATGACGTTGGAAGGGGAGTTAAATGTGACACACTCATCTATAATATAAAGCTCGTATAATAGATCTAAATATGGAGATCAGTTATCAGAAGTTGGGAGTGAATGGTGTTAAAGGTACAATATGCAGGATTTTTGCAGTAAAATATACAAAAACCGCTAGGCTAATGTTACATATCGTTTAGTTGATTATTTACAATATCCCAAATGTTTCCAACTCTTTGTAAATGGTGAGAAAATTGCGATTTTAACCGAGGAAACGGGGCGAGGAGTCGCCAGTCAATGACGTCATATCCGCGTTACCCCCGGTTTCCGCTGAGTTTGCGATAGTAACCATGGCGACAGACCGGGTTACTGCCATTACGCCTAGCAGGACGCTCACGCTGTTGTTGTTTTGTTCATACATTATGGACCATGGCAAGCAGACTTGGAGATAAAAAGAGGACTAAAACGAAGATGAACATCTTTGGAGATGCCGAGAGCTCCACGTCCGTCCGCGACTAACTTCGTATGTTATTCTAATGTTGATCTAGCTCATACAGCCGACACACAACAACACTCAATGCGGTTTAGTGTGATAGTGAAACTGTTAGAGCTAGTGACGCAGCGCTGTTACCTCAAGTTTAATTCCTCTAATAAACTGGCCTGTGGGAGTAATTCAGCGTGTCGTTCGGTAGAATTAAATGTCCTTTTTCCTATATATCCGCGGGACTTGCGTTGCGTGTGACGCTGGTGTACGTCTAGCAATGGCGCCCTGCTTCATACTACAGTCATGATAAAAACGTCACTGCATCAGGAGGGCTGTAAGCTGATAGAATTGGTGTCGGGTGCATACCAAAAATTACCCTCAAACATTGTTTCTAGACTGTATAAATGCCTACAAAACTGTATTGGCATTAATTCCCTTTATATAAAACAAAAGTGGGAATCTGAACTACAGATCAAGGTGTCAGAGGATGATTGGCATTCTATTTGTCTACTTCAACACACTTCCAACAGCTCAAGACAGTGGAGAGAATTTGGCTGGAAAAACATAATCAGATATTTCATTACACCTCATATCAAAAGTAAGCAACTCAAGTCCTCCCAGTACTGCTGGAGACTCTGTGGCAGCATGAACGCCAATCACTCTCTGTCCCAAAGTTAGTTAGTTAAACATAGCGACTGAAATAAGAGTTGTCTTGGGCTATGCGTTTCCAACTGTTTTCCAAACTATGTATCTTGGTTTACTTTCCTATTCTGTTATACAACCAGAGGATTTGTATCTATACAAAGTTTTGTTGATGGCCACCAAAAAAACTATTACAAGGAACTGGCTGAAGAGTCACACTTTAACAGTGTCACAATGGAAGAAATCTTTACAATGGAAAAAATCACTCACTTTGTTAGGCTGAAATCAGCTCTTTTTGAAAAGAGATGGAAGAAATGGATACTCTATAAGACTCAAGTGTGATTACACCCTGCTGTTCTGTTTTGTTATGTCATGTTTGTTGTTACTTGAATAAATAAAGAGTTAAAAAAAAAAAAAACATCACTGCATTCACTCATCCATAAAGCGTTATCAATAAACACCTTTGTTATTGTAAGAGGTTAGTGACCCCTAGTGGTGAACAATCCTGCATATTGTACCTTTAAATCAACTTTCACAGTTCGTATTACATTCAATGTGCTTTCACAGGGGCACTTTAGTTTGAAACGTTTAGTTCTACATTTTATTCTGATAATCCATTACACAACACGGAAGAAAAGCGGTCAACTATTTGCGTTTAACTGCGAATTATCAGCTATATCATTAAAGGGGACATATCATGCAAAATACACTTTTTTACTACAGCGTTTTTTTTTTTTTAACTACAGCGTCACCGTATTTGCAGCGGAACTGACAAATAAGGACATCGACTACCGGTCCAACACGTCGAGCAATCCGCCATTATTATTTCTCGCTCCGATTTTGTAGTCCGAGCTCAATGATGCAGAAGTTACGAGAGGGCAAGTCAAAATGTTCAGTTGTTGACCTGAAGCACTTCAAGGATTCCCACTTCAACAACCTCCGCCAGTAACGTTATACAGAAGGGTTTGCCGATCGACTTCGTCTGAATGAGAGGTAAATTCCTTCTATCTTTGGAGACGACGAACAGAGCGTTTCCATAAGCTGTAAATATCGTTAATAAAAATAAAGTACTTTACTTTCTTAAAACACATGGTGGTCGTGGTTTAGCAGTACCTTTGTCTTTCTTTGTTTTGGTTTTGAAGTAACGTTACACGTCTGCAGTATTATTGTTCTTGAGTTTCATCAATGCTCATTTAGCTGCTTTTCTAAACGTATCATATTATCAGCACAGATTGTTTGTGGTAAGATTAGACCGTAGTCATTTATCTTGTCGGTGTGCTTGTTTTAACAAGAGAAATAGTCGACTTTCACTAATAACACAAAACAGTTAACTCGCATACCAATACATCCATATGATGAAGAGGTTGATCTGCAGGTTTGTCGTCGTCTTTATCGACTCGCTCGCTCTGGCTCGAATATGTAAGGCTTGATGGACAAGTCTTCTGTTGTTGACATTTTATAAACGTGTGAATAAAAATGTTCTATCGTATATAATCGTGTTTCTCTAATCAAACTACAATAATGGCCGAACGTGGGCAGTTGAACCGACCGTGAACTCATCGACCTGGAGAGCAGGCGGGGTGTGACGCATCTCCTTTTTATTTAAAGGGGCCGCTTTGAAACGGGTCGCTCATCAGAAAAGGGGCTTGTGGAGCTATAATAATGAGGAATTCAGACCCAAGCATTGCAGTTATGATTTATATAGACCACAACGGTATGATTTATATGTAAAAATGAATGATTGAAAAGCATGATATGTACCCTTTAAAGCTAAATCAATACTTTTGTTGAATATCATAAGCCAACATGACTTCTTAGATGAGATTTCTAAGAACGAAAGTTTTTTAAAAGATAATTACCTTGTATCATCTCAAACAGTGTTATTTGTCAATGCCCACCAAGTAATGACATCGTACTGCCAAGTCCATATCCTACCTTTGGGCTCCTCCTGAACCTGAAGTGTGGCCTCTTTATTGTTGGCCATCTTCTCCAATTTCACTCTCTTCTCCAGCGGAGGCAGGCCGTTCTCCGTTTGCTGCTGATGCATCGGGCCTGTGTTGCACAAAGGTCTTTTCTTCACTATCTGGGATTGCTGTGGATCATATGTTGTCTCGTCTCCGAATGGCTTTAACACGAGTGACGCAGGATCCGGAGTTTGAGATTGGCGCTGGGATCCATTATAGCGTCCCCGACGTCCACGCCCCCGGCCCCGCCCCCTGCCCCGTCCCCTCCCCCGTCCCGCACCAGGAGGCTTGCCCGACTGAAGGCTGCTGTCGTCAGCTTGCTGGAGATCTGTCCTGTCCGGCCCTCGCTTCCACGGAGCCATCCACCACGGGTTTGTCTGGACTGGCGGATGAAGACGCTGGGACAAAGAACTGGACACCAGCCCGTCCTCAACAGGTAGAGACGCCGGCCTCTGAGAGATGTGGGACACATTATCAGATAGAATTAATGACGAAAACACTCCTTTTGAATAACCAAGCTCAGACTTGGTCTAAATGTTGCCAATGTGAGAGGCAGGATGGACACCTGACACATGTTGTAAAATACAGGAATTTTGGTTGATTATATTACAAAGTTTCAGGATTGTGCTTTTTTTCCATCCTTTTTATGCTATAACGTTGAGACCAGCGTCGGGGAAGTTACTTTTAAAAAGTAGTGTAACACCTCATAATCCGTTACTTGACTTAGTTACCCCATATGGAAAGCAACTTTTTACGTTACTCGTTACTTCTCTGTCGCAGAACCCAATATCTGTTCCTGTATGTGTAGGCCTACATCAAGTTCTACTACGCATAACGCCATATATGCAAAATGCATTTATCACAATGCTGAATATTTATGAAGAAATGCCCATTAATGGATCGGCATATGCATTAAGAATGAACGCCCTCAGGAAAGACCAAAGCTTCCCGTCAGCAAACCCAAAAATAATCAAAGTTATATTCAGGCTGTGTTCTGGAAGTCCTGATCCACATGGTGAAGAAAAAAAAATACATTTTGTTATTTCAACATAATAAGAGGACATTAAGCGTTCGTATTATGGTTTTCTATGGGAGGAAAATGCTTAACGTTTTCTTAAACACGTTGCGTTCATAATCTGGGCTCATCTGATTTTTTTGTACATAGTTTAGCCTACTTTATTATGATTTTAGTATCAATGATTAATGAATGCATGCACAATTATAAGCAAACTTGATAATTGTTGCAGATATGTTTAACTATGCACGTAAACAAATGCCTTTCAACGCATGTGTGCAAAATTCAGAATTAAGCCTCAGGTGCTCTTCGTTTCGGAGTCACACTTGTTATCTTCCCGGTCAAAAGTGACCGGACACCTAAAAATGAAACTTTCTCCATCCCAGTAAAACCAATGCAATTTATTTTTGTTCTATAATATTTATTCTTTTTTAATTTATTATTTTGAGACAATTTAAATTAATTTATTAATATTTATGCAATATTTATGGTTTATTTTTGCCATAGAAAAATATATATTATTTTCTATATATATGTTATTTTTTAAAAAAAAATATTAATGCAGTATTTTAGTTTAATATAGAGTCTAGGCCTTCAGAAAAAAAATATTTTTTGAAGAAAATTAGCACCATCTAGTTACAGTATAGAGAAAAAGAATCGTGGTGTAATCACTAGATGGCATGTACAGCTCTCTATTGAGAGGCATGTGAATTCCCCAGCTGTTTATGAACACATTTTTGTTGTTGTTGTTGGTGGATTTGTATATATAGTTGAAACAATCTCAAAAACTATTTCTTATAAAAAAAAATGACAAAAAAACAAATATTCACATTTTTTTTTCTTTTTTTTTACAAAAGTGTGTTTGTATGTGTGTGTGTGTTGGTGGGTGTGTCTGTTTTGCACTCTAGATGTTGTAGAGTGTCACCCCTTTCTTACGGTGAACTTTTTTTTTTAGAATTGTGGCCGATTTGTAGATTGTACATACAAAAATTCAGAGAATTTTTTTTTGTATCAATTTCCCATTCATTTCCTATGGGTTGCAGAAGAGCAAAAGTGTGACTCATTTTTTTACGACCACTTAAATTGCTCGAATCATGACCTCAATTTTTCTGTGTTTACATACCCAATGCCATAAAAGTCACCAAGTTTCGTAATTTTCTGAAGAAGTTGTGATTTTTAAATATTCAAAACAGATTTCTTTAATCACAATTTATTGGTGTTTTTGTGTATAAAAGTGTGTGTGTAGGGGTGGGTATGTCTGTTTTGCACTTTTGATGTTTTAGAGTGTCACCCCTTCAATGCTGAGCACTTTTTTTCTGCATCATGGCCGATTTGTAGATTGTACACACAAAAATTCTCAAAGTTTTTGTGTTTTTGTCAATTTCCCATTCATTTCCAATGGTCGGTCATTTTTGACCGAAGAGCACAAGTGTGACTATTTTTTTTACGACCACTTAGCCTGCTCGGATCATGACCTCAATTTTGTTTTGTGTTCACATACCCAATGCCATAAAAGTCACCAAGTTTCGTAACATTCCGATGAAGCTGTGATTTTTAACATTTCAAAACAAAACTTTTTTTGGTCAGAAATGACCGAAGAGCACCTGAGGGTTAAATTAATGTGCAGCAATTTGTCCAAATAGAGTCTTTTTGTATAAATATTATTTTATCTCTAAAATCTAAGATCTCTAAAATCTTAATTTTAATCATTTTTTTTATCAACCAATTGCCTGTATTTAATAAATAAGAAAAATATATAGCAGAGAATATAATAATGATATGAGGCTCCGGCGCGGTCACTTGTTGTGTGTTAACTGGAGCGTCTCATCATAAATGAACTGAAACTCAGCGTATGCCTGGTAGCAAAAAAAAAAACAATAACAAGGTGTAAGACTGGAAAACTGGTTAGAGAAAATATCTGACCAGTGCCTTCTCTAAGACAATAGCATTGCTTGCAGATTAACATTTGACACCCTACCCCCCCTCTCTCTCTCTCTCTATAACACTGAAAACTTACACAAGAATATGGCTTTAATGTGAATGTGATCATCTTTAAGGATTGTTTAGAATCATTTTGATGGTCTCAGGGTGACTGGTAATAATGCCTCATTCCCAAAGAAGAAAAAGAAAAGGTAATAAGGTTTTAAGAATATAGAAATATCTTGCACACAAAGAAGGATGTGCCTTTGACTTCACACGTCTGGCCCTTTTGTCTGAATGCAATTTACTACCAAGCAAATGGTCTGCGCCCAATAAGCATGTTGGGGGAGATTCAGTAACTTTCCATTGTATCCTGGTGATTTACATATCAGGTGAGGTCTGATTATAAAGGGAGATGTAACAAGAGTTCGGGGCTGCCTTTCTGTATTCAGATCAGCCCATGATGTTGTGTCCTCCCAGCTCATGTAGCCTAATATGTTGGGTAAAGTTCTTTGTTCTTTGAAACATTTAATGGTTTGCATTGATTATCTTGTGGAATTGTAATAATACATTTACCTGAAATAATAAATTGTTATATTTGGCTATTCTAACAGACTTTGACTTTATTTTCATTAGAGTTAAAAGGAATAGTCAAGCAGTAACTTATTAAATGATGCACAGATATGAAACAAGTTAATGCATAAGATTAAATGAGTTGCATTTAATTAAAATTCACTTTGCTTGGAAAAGACGGAACACGCTTGAGACCTTCACCACGAATCGAACTCCGCCATTTGGGTCGATTTCATGGCCCTTTTTACAAAGGAAATGGCTAAGTAAAGAATGCCCCACAATTGCTGAATGGATAGAAATTTATGTTATGGAACATTTGACTTTCTCTCCGAGACATGCCAGGAGTAAATGTGAAGCATATTGGGAAAAATGGATATCTTATCTGAGTACAAACTGAGATGTATATGTCTTGTTTTTTTTCTCTCCTTGCTTTACTTGATGTTGAGCATTTCTGTTAACCTATGACATATTTGCCTGCTATTCCTTGGTCTGTCTGCCTGTTGTTGTTGCTGTTGTTTCTTTTTTTTTTTTGTCAAAAAACAAAAAAAAAGTTTAAAAAAAAGAAAGCTTGAAATGTCTTTAAACTAAACAATTCAGAATTGTGTAATCCATTATGTGCATTTCTCTGTGTATGCATATTCACGGAGATGGCGATCGCCGTCAGATCGGTCAAATGACGAAGATGCATTCTTTTATTTTATATTTTCTTACCCAAGGCTTTGTTTTTAAAACAGGGACATTAGTTTGGCTAATGCTCAGTCACTTGCAAAACCAACATGAGAAAGAATCAAGATTTCATATAAAATGATTTTTTTGCCATATCGCGCACCCCATGCAAGACTCAGACTTGTTTCTGCACAATGGATTTAGTGTTGCATTTAGCTCAACGGTGTGTGCATGAGAGGGACAGAGAGGTAAATGGTTTACAGACCAACCTTTGAAGCCTTCTTCAGCCTTGCCGAGCTCCTTACATCAGACGCCTTTAGGAAAAGACAGAGAGATTATCTGTTTTCAAAAATCTCGCATCGGTACAGCCATACAGTCATTGAGTGTGTCAGTAAAATATAGATATGGTCAGATAATGTCAGGGCTTGACAATCAGATCATTTCCTGCTGGCCTAGTCGCTGCAGAAGCTCTGGTGACGCTTTTTATTTAGCTAAATATAAAATTTATATCACAAAACACATCTTATATTTTAGTTTTAAGTAATCAAAAGCTTTAAGGGCTCATATTGTGCGATAGCAGTTGTAAAACCCTCTTAACACAACCCTGCTCCTGGGGATCCGCTGTCCTGCAACGTTTATTCTATATAAATAGACTATTATTTATAGTGTTTGAAGCTTTTTACACCCGGTCACTAACATCCCATCGCTCAAACCACTGCAGGAGGTGCTGCTCTAAACCAGACGAGTGTAAAGGTATCAGGTTGACGAAACCATGTGTCAGTTTTACTCCTCCAAAATGATCAAATAAACTTGTGAGAGCGTGTTAAAGCCAGATGTGACGGCACTAGTAGAGTATCTCTTAGAATTGTCTGTGATCTTGAAATTAGCTGATAAATAAATTGCAGCTCATATCGGTAGCTTTCATGATGTGAAAAGGAATTGAAAATCGGATTCATTTCCATTTTGCGGAGACACATTTACACTGCAGGTCTTGATGCCCAAATCCGATTTTCTGACAATATTTTGATTTTTTTGTTTTCATGTCATGTTTTAAAAGTGACCCATATCCGAGTTTTGCATTTACACTATTGCTGAAACTACCAAATGTAGACGTTCTGACCCGGAAAATTAAGTAAAACAGCATGAAATGCAATGGATGCAGATGTCAATAAAATTATGCAGTGTTTTGCCTTCTACAATATTCAGAAAAGTCTTCAAAACATTGGTCTCGTACGGCGGAGAGAAAGAGGAGAGCCCTTGTCGGCGCTGTAAACCGTGCCTCCCCATATCACCTGAAATGTCTTCAAACACTGATTTATTACATTTTTGCCTGCACTCTTTGCCCCAATCGCGATTAATCGTTTCACGGCCCTAAAATGAGGCGTTATGCTGCCAAGTGCACATGGAACCGTTTTAATAAATCCGATCAGTAAAAACGCACGAGGTGACCTGACCTTTGATTAGGGTCGGACCTCAGCGGGTGAGCAGGAGCAGGGCTGGAGACCTCCGGACTAACATTAACGCACTATCATAATTGGCAGCATGAACTGGGCAGCCGGCCCTTGTTCATCCTTATTATCAAGAGGTTAAAGGTCTACAGCACCTCATTTGCCATCTGCATGTCAATCTTCTGTTCAATCCTCTGCACTGCTGCATGCAGGAACTGAAAGACAACACACAGGTGAGATGTATTAAAGAGACCTAGACTCTGAATCGTCATGAAGTTGAAGACAGAAGCTCTTACCCTACAGTAGTTCAGCACCTCCAGCAGGATATTCTGCTGGTCCTCCCCGACAGCAGATTTGCTCTGGTTTAGAAGACAATTCAGACGTTACTGAAAAAGGAGACTGACCTTGATCTGTGTAATAGTTTATTGGTGAATTGGGCTATGAGACTCAAACCTGTTCTGGTGCGTTTGGAAATACTGGAGGCTCCATGGCAGCTAAAGGGCTGATCGCCATGTTCAGTCCAGACTTCTCTGCAGGACCCCTGGCTGAATCACACGGAGGCCTAGCTTGGTAACCAATGTGCTCCTCAGAAGGGAGTCCTACGCTCATGTCCTTTGGAAGAGAATGATTATTACTGACATGAGCAAAAAAATTATCTGATACTCCAAGTTAAAGGATCTGTGTTCCAAACCCATTCAAATGTCTTCCAGAACATTAATTTTGTTACTGAAATCTATGATTAAAAAAAAGTACATTGATGACATTTTATTCCATAAGTAAGACGAGATGATGCGACAACACCAATGTCATTGAACAATAACTAACCATATCAACATGCCATATCATTGATTAACCCTCTGGGGTTGTTCGGCCCAAATGGACCTGAAGGATTTAAATAAAACATTTTTTTAAACACAGCTTCCTCGGAATGGTCCGAAATTTGGTGACTTTGTTGGTATTTTGTATTTGAACACCCCAAAACATTGGGGACAGGATGTGAGTAGTCTAAGTGGTCCAAATGGACCCACATGGAAATTGAATGGGAAATTGGCAAAACTGTGAAAATACTGAGTTTTTTTGTGCGTACAATCTACAAATCAGCCACGATCTTGAAAAAAAAGCACACAACAGTGAAGGGGTGAATCTATAAAACATCAAGAGTGCAAAACAGACACATCCAGACACACACACACACACACACTTTTATACACACACACCAAAAAAATTCAGATAATACATGTGTTTTGCATTTTTAAAATGCTCAGTTTTTCCACCAGATGGCATCCATCTCATTTCAAAAATTGCTTTTATGAGGCCTAGGCTTGACTCTAAAATGAAATACAGCTTTAACATTTTTTTTTTTAAAATATATTTTTTAAAATATTTTTTCTGTTATGTTTAATGGGGGGAAATTGTCATAATTATTGCATTAATACTAATCATAATTTTTTTTTTTTTTTAATTTTCTCAAAACACCAAAAAAGAAAAGAAAAAATATTATAAAAAACGAGTAAAAAAAAAAAAATCATGCTTTTTTTTTTTTAATATGAATCCCGCCCTTTGGGTCCATTTGGACCCGAAACACCCCGAGTGTGACTCTGAAACGAACAACCCCAGAGGGTTAAAAAAGATGAGACTGTGGTATTACAAATTGTTTAATTTAATGTTTTACATGAAGAAAGTCTCTAAATCTCTGCAAACAGTAGGAGTTTATACTTCTGACTGCCCTGTGACCACATGAGAAAGTCATGCCTTTCCGGTTTCTCGTCTCCCCGTGTGAAGACTCCTGCGGAGCAAGTTTGGACACCTGATGTGTTAATGTCTGAGACCATTTGCCTTGGAGCACATACATTAGGGTCACATACATTACCATTTGCTCTGTTTCAGTGTCTCAGGGTCTGTCTTCAGTGTTTCAGGGTCTGTTTCTCCACCTCTATGCAAGCCACTCCCTTATAAATGTATAAAGTACTGTATTCTAAGTTTGTGAGACTATCTTTGAGAAGGCAACAGCGACGCAATAAAGAACTTCTGCGTGAAACATACCTCAAAGTCTCCTGGTCTGTTGCGTGGAAGAGAAAACTTCACTACAAGATATACTTACTTTATATATTAAAGGGCTAGTAATGACGTTCCAAACCCATAAGACCTTTGTTGATCTTTGGAACACAAATGAAGAAATTTTGCACACAAAAAATAATCGCTTCATAACATGGTTGAACCACTGGAGCCACATGGACTATTTTAACTATGTTTTCACGACATTGGCTGGTTCTTCACTTAGTTCACTTTTAAAAAAACTTTTGCTGATAATTTACTCACCCCCATGTTATCCAAGATGTCCATGTCTTTCTTTCATCAGTCGAAAAAAAATGAAGGTTTTTGATGGGGCCCAAACGGTTCAAGGTCCAAAAGACAGTTTGACCCCATTGAAGTCCATTATATGGAGAAAATCGTGGAATGTTTTCATCAAAAACCTTAATTTCTTTTCGACCGAAGAAAGAAAGACATGGACATCTTGGATGAAATGGGGGCGAGTAAATTATCAGCAAAAGTTTTTTTTTAAAGTGAACTACTCCTATAAAACAACAGAAAAAAAAAGACTGTTTTTGGGACATCAAAGTCCCAAAACGAAATTTTGGAAGTGAATGCAAAAGCATTATATCATTTTTCCTCCCCTCCTCTGTTTATTTATTTCAATCACGATGTCCCCTCAGGGGCTCTGTAGAAATGAATGACCCATAAATGATGACAATTTCAAAAAGTAATGATATAAACTTCTGGCTTAGTTATTTTTCATGTATTAACTGCTAAACTTTTGATGAAAGAGAGAAGGAGGGCTGTGGCACAATACCCCGTGTGCGGCACCGCAGTCAGGACTCTGCTTTGGGCTCTGCTCATCCCGAAAGGTTTGTCGGCTCTCATGGTGTCCTTCTAAACTCCCCCTGGGAGACTGTTTCAGGGGCGCACAATACTCCTGCTTTTCTGAGAAAGAAAGAGAGGAAAATATATAAATTAACTGACACAAATCTGTCCATACATAGACTCTGCATTTAAGCTATATAAAAAAAAAGCATAGTTGGAGCAAAACATTCAAAAGAAATGTGTTGGGTTTTAAGTGATAACAGTATAAGCCTAGAGTTGATTAGTAAGAGTGACACGTTGTGGTTGTAAAAAAATAGTGTTCGACATGGTTAATGTGATGAACTAACGTTAGCTACACAAGTGTGGATTTGAGGAGAACCTGAGGAGAACTGACTTCATCCACGTTAACGGTAAAAAAAAACAACAACAATAAAAACAAAACACCAGAGCATATTGCAAAATGGCTCAGAAAAGTGAAGATATGCCAGAATAGAGCAATTATTTTCTTTAAAACCTTACTATAATGTGTTTAGATTTGATATGGAGGCACACAGAGAGATACACGATAAGATGTGGTCAAACAAGCCAAACCTCGCTCTTGGATGTTTCTCCTGCTCCATGTAGAAGCTCTGGATGAGCACGAGAGTTCATCATCATCTTCTTCTTCATCGTTTGAGTTATCTGACTCGACAGGAGCGAATATACTCAGATCCATCTCAGTTTCTGGATCGTCCTCTTCCAGCTTGATAACGATACATTGGTGTGTTCCGTCCACATCGCTGTTTGAGCAACTCTGAGGGCGCGAGTCAGCGCCAGAGTGAAGCATTGACTTCATTTTCAGTCACGACGCGAACTATCGAGGATTTTCCAAAGTAAAGTCTCGTTTGATCCTCAACAAATAATTAGCAGATTGCTTTTAAGTTTAAGACAGGCTCACATTAAATTCGGACTGCAGCTGGGGTATTTGAGTGAGTGTGAGTGTGTGTGTGTGTGTGTGTGTGTGTGTGTGTGTAAAGTTACTAGAATTCAGGTGGGTTTGGCGGATGGATCTTCAAATAGTAGCTAATACTGATACAGACGTAAATACTCGAGGGTATTTACAAATACCTTCATTTAATGATAACGGTGTTTATTTCAAAGTGGTTATTTTAATAATTGTTTAGCATTAACTGATTTCATATCACAAGTGTTGGAATGAATATAATGGACTATATGTCGGCGAGTAGTTGTGCAGGATAGGAACTATTTGTCCTTCCGCTGAGCACACATTCACGAGCAGCATTCAGTTTGCCAGAGATATAGTTATTTCTCTTTTCTTCACTAAATAAAAAAAAGGTAATTGTGACTTATATTGTCATATTTCTGTCTTTCTCGCAATCGTAAGTGGGATTTGTGAGATATAAACTCGCAATTATATAAACAATTAGAATATTGAGATAAAAAGCCACAAATAGCCTACTTTTAATCTTTTTATTCCGTGGAAGCTTCCTTTTTGTGCGTGATTTTTAACAAATAATTTTATTTAAAATCATTCAATAATTGAACATGTGTAGGCTACAGTAATTGTTGTTATTAATGATATGGAATATAATGCGAATTTGAATATTAACTCTTATGACGTTGGCGTAGACCAACAACAAGCATCAACCAAAGGTTACATTTATTTATTAATAGCAGACACTTTTATCCAAAGATAAACTAACAGTAGCACAATACTAAGTGCTATGATGACCCCTCTCACATAATCTTCTATTCTATGTTGAAATTTTACATTCTTCATCAGGTTTGCACCCTGAAATAATGTTTGTTTGTTTATTTTATTTAAATCAGGACAATGTGCAGTTACATTAAAAAAATGGCTGCACTAGATTTAGCACAATGCTAATTACCATCTGTAGTCCTACTCAATTAAGATCATATGATAAAGTTAAAATTGCATAACAAGAACAATTAACATTTAAAAATATATAACAAAGATGGTATAACATAAAAAGGTAGCTTACAAGGTTCGATACATAAAGTGCAAATTATCATTTTGTATGTAAGATCAACTAATGTAAGATTGTAATTGGGTTCAAACTTTTTTTTTACTTTATAAAACACAATACAATGTAAAAGCCATCCAAAGGTACTCACAAGGGTATCATCCGATGTGTCTGGTGCTTTTAGTGTGAACACGACTGGTGTTCACATTTCATGAAAAGTATATCAAGATGGACATAAAAATCAATATTTGTTCAACTTAAATTAAATCACTTATTTAACATTGAATCAGCATAATATCAAATCATATTGCTTTGTGTATAGCATATGCCAGTTTGTCCTAATTGTCTTTTTAATTTTCTCCTTTTAATCAGAGACCATGTAGAGCCACAATTAATATGGTTTTGATTCAAAAACTAATTTCCTCATCCTTCAGTTTACATGCAAATGTATTTACTTATGCCCCCAAACTGTTAACAAAGGATAACATCACATTTAGGGGGAAAAAAAAAATTCATTTCGCGGTAATGGCCGCACACAAGTCTAGTCTAGTTTGTAAGAGTGACCTCTGACCCGACGCCTGACCTAGGCTGTAGGAGTAGTGAGAGTAGTCGCCTCTTGCGGATCAAACAAACAGGGCTGGGCAACAAACTCACAATCCTCTCTTTAAAGCAACATTTCTCTTTAAAAAATCTAATTTTAGACTTCTATACGTCATTAAAAGCTTTGAAGAGCTGAGATTTTTTTTTAATATAACTGTGTTTGGCTTAAAAAGAAGAATGTAATATATGATTAGGGTGAGTAAATAATGGGATAATTTTCATTTTTGGGACTAACCATTTAACTAATGTTCATCAAACTATTTAACACATGGGTAATTTAGTATCATACCTGAATTAAGATCTTTGTGACATTGTCTACAGTGCTGAATAACACTTTTCCCTCCACAATTACTACAATTACTACAACATCCAAGGTCAGACGGATGACAGAAAGGAGAAGTTGTGATGTTGTCTAGTTGTGTTCCGGTACGGTCAGTAAAGCATCCTCTGGATCTCTGTCCACATCCACATTCTGAAACATCACAAGAAGATCATCAGTATCACAGTAACTCACATCTCAAACAAAGAAAGGAGGTTGCTGGAAAATAGAAGATAAAATATGGTTAATGTTTGTGAATTCAAGCACTTTTTAATCACAAAGAATGTACACAAAAACTGCAGTATATGTATTACAAATCAGATTAATGAATATGAACTATATTTACTTAAACATCCTTCAAAATGTCCCGGTGAGGCATTAGTGTTTTCATGCAAAGAAAGCGATCCAGGAAGGAGACTGTCGTAATATTTACACTCTCACAATGGGGGCAATCAGATCTTAGGTTTGGGCAAGACCCAAGCATGTGGTGCAGCACAGTATTATGGCCTGACAACTGCTGACAATAAACTTGCTAAAACCGAACAGATCAAAAATACAAAGGAAGCCTTACAAATGAAATCAGGACAGCATTTAAAGGAGCACTTCGACTTTTGGGGACTTTAGCTTATTCACCGTATCCCCCAGAGTTAGATAAGTCCATATATACCTTTTTTATCTCTGTGCATGCTGTAACTCTGTCTGACGCACCCACCGCTAGCCTAGCTTAGCACAAAGACTGGATGTAAATGGCTACAGCTAGCATACTACTCCTAATCAGTGACAAAATAACGCAAACATTTTCAAATTTACATGTTGTGATTTGTATAGTCACAGAGTGTACAAATCACAAGGTCATATGAGACACAGCCATCTTTTTTTTCTGTTCGAGGAAAGAAGAGAACAGAGAACAAACACAAGAACTACAAGTGACTCTCTATATTTACCAAACACAATTAAGTTAGTTGTTAAGTTAGTTATTAAGTTGTGATTTGTATAGTCACGGAGTGTACAAATCACAAGGTCATATGAGACACACAGCTATCTTTTTGAACAGAAAAAGTGATGAGCAGAAACACAAGAACTACAAATGACTCTCTTTATTTACCAAATACAATTAAGTTAGCCAGTGAAAACATTGAGAATCATTTCTCTGTACTTTTCTGTCAGTTAAATAACGGTTCGAGAGAATTAATAAATGCTATTTACAAAATGTCCCAGTGTTTCTATAACTGGGGTTGTGCTGTACCAAACTGATCTAAAAAGACTCTTTATTCCAGAAGTGCTTCAGTACGAGAGTGCTCACCACAGGCCTGTCTCTGTGTGTGTTCACTGCTTCAACCTTCAGGAAAATGGACTCAACATCACAGCCTGGAAACACAATAGGAAATGTATAATTTAACGATCTAATTGATCTTTATGTAAACAGTTGTATTACAGAAGAGAGTAAGAGAGTCTGACCATAGGCAACAGGAGTGAGTTTCAGCACCGTGTGCAGAGGACACCTCAGATACGGCAGCTCATCTAGAGAGACGTCAGGAATTACAAAGACTTACATGTACAAGAAACGTCTGTGAACTAACTGTATTTTCTGCATTGATCGCTGATGGTCTGTTCAGTTGTTCAGTCACAATTATACACAAGCACTTACAACAGTTTTATCATTATAATAAATCATTATAATAATTTACAGTGCAGGCTGGAAAAAGTAAGCTAACCCCAGAATTGAACAATTTGTAGTTCTTTCAACTTCAACCAAATCTTTCCTGTAGCTGCTTGTAAAATCTACACCATTGAAGATGAATTTCGAACATCCACCCAATAAATCAAAGCAAGTACTTTCACACCATCACTATTTCTTTGTTTTCTGTCTGTCATTTTCAAAGTTGTGTTGAAACACTGACACTAGGGGGAGCTCCAAACGCCTCCAGCGTTTTCAGGAAAGGCCAGTGGCGTGTGGCATAGTTATGTATATAAAGGCTAGATGTGTTACGGCGGAGTTTCCATCGTCATCACCGGCGGCCATCTTGTCACAGGCAAGCTGATGTAAGATGAGTGGTCAGCACGAACACAAATACTTTTATCTCGTTGAAATCTTGACCGATTTACAAACGGTTTGGTTATTAACGTGGCTATAATTATCTGGATGATTATTTATTTATACACTTTTTATTCATAAGTATGGAGTGTCATAACTACGTCTCTGACGTTTATAACAAAACAAACCGTTTGAAAATCGGTAGAAAATTGAGCAAGTTATGGTCATTTAAATAGTACACGTACCATTAACACAATGTTACGAGTGAGCGAGCTGCCTGTGACAAGATGGCCGCCAGGTGCGGACGTCGACCTCCATTGGCCAGCAGCGTGGACGACATATCTAGCCTTTATATACATATCTATGGCGTGTGGAATCTGCAGAGCGCGCTCAGGCATGTGGGTAAAGGGCTTGGGCGCCGCGTTGCATTCTGGGACGTGGCGGCCATGTTGACAGCTTCGCAAATGTAAACACACCAGCAAATCAAACGAGGAGAAGCAGCTGGGTTGGGAGAAAGAAAATAAAAAAGATGTTAATATCCCTAAAAGGATGCGGAATTTCCCGGGATACGTTTAATAGGGAAACCAGGGACCGGTATGTGGATAAAACGGCACTTTAACTGTTTGGATCCATTTGAAATTTCCCACAAACAGTGGGAGCAGCACAGTACGTTACGCTAACTTAATCCGGACAAAGGTAAACTGCGCTCCACCTAGCTGCTAGCCCAGACAGCAAACTGACATTGAATCAACGTGGAAACGACGTCTCTCATGACATTGAACGTTGATTTTGCTCATCGAATTAACGTTGAACCAACGTCAGACGCGGCATTCTTCAAAGCTAAATGAAAATCGAAAATTGGTTTGCTTTCATAACGTTGAAACAACGCGTTGATTTCAAGTTGATTTTCCGTTAGTTTTGAAAGAATGACGCGTCTGACGTTGGTTCAACGTTAATTCGATGAGCAAAACAATGTCGGATCAACGTTGTTTCGATGTCATATTTCCACGTTGATTCAATGTCAGTTTGCTATCTGGGCATTCACACATGTAACATACTTATGTGTTTCAAAAGTGTAGTTAGCTGTTTTAAGCAAACTTAAGTTAGTAAGCAAAACGATGCTTAAAGCAAGAGGCTAACAGTTAGCAACAGGACAACAGAGACTGACAGGTCCGATTAAAGGGCTAATGTTAAAGGGTTAGTTCACCCAAAAATTAAGTCATTAATTACTCACCCCCATGCTGTACCAACCCCGTAAGACCTTCGTTCATCTTCGGAACACAAATAAAGATATTTTTGATTGAATCTGAGAGCTGGATCAGTCCTACATAGACTGCCTAAGGGACTGGCTCTTGACGGCCCATAAAGTCATTAAAGAAAAGGTTTAAATATTCCATGTGCCTACAGCGGCTCGATTATAAGTTTATCAAGCGACGAGACTACTTTTTGTGCGAAAAAACATAAATAACGACTTTATTCCACTATTCTATTACTTCCTAATGGGCGCATGCGCGAGAACTGAGACGAGGACGTTCTCATTCGACTACTTCTTGTTACCGGCTGCTCACCGCTTAGGAGTTTTACCGCCACCTACCGTATAAGATGATGTGCTGATATAGCTGGAAGCGCAAAACTTTCTGTTTACAAGCAGAGGAAGATGCGCGCTGTACATACGCTTTTCAATTACCGTACTTTCCGCACTTAATTTTCATTTTTGGGTGAACTAACCCTTTAATGTTATGAGAATATTAAAATATGGGATATTTTACAGGAATATACTAAAACGGGAAGACAGCGGGAAAAGAGATCAACCCGGAACAAACGTGAGGGTTGACGGCTAACGTTACTAACCATCTCTCCGGATTACTGTGTTCCCACTGTTTGCCGACTCTTTGTTGGAAATTTCATATGGATCCAAACCGTTAAGTGCCGGGTTTAGTCCACATATACCGGTCACTGGCTTCCCGGTAACATATCCCGGTAAATTCCACAACCTTTTAGAGATTTTAACACCCTTTTTCTTTTCTTTATCCCAACTCTGCTGCTTCTCCTCGTTCGACTTGCTGTATGTTTACATGCGCGTAAGCTGCAACATGGCCGCCACGCCAGTAATGACGTCACAACACCCAAGCCAGCACACACACACACACACACACTTCATCTTTCTTCAAGTTCTCTTGAGAAACAGTTTGCATTCACCTCTGCAAAGAGCCAGTAGGTTGAATGATGGTGGTCTTTTGCTGTTCTTTATCATCTCTTTGAGGATTGCCTATTGGATTTAAATGCCCACTCTTAAGGAGAGTAGCAACAATCCTCAATCTTCTCCATTTGATGTCAACTTGTCTAACCGTGGAATAACAAATGCCCCTATAGACCTTATTCAGAGCAGCGCCATGACAGGTTGTGAGGGATAGACTTACCGTGTTTCCAACGGCATCCGCTGTAAAAAGCTGAATAAAGCGGCTAGATTAACTTACAATTTTCCACAGCTTACATTGTCGGGAGTTTTTAGTCAACTGACATTTCTTTGAAAGATATTTTTCCAGTGTTTCATGAGCAGAACAATCTGAAAACACATTAAATAACAGTACAGCCCATTGAAGAGATGCAAGTCTATCTCTCACAGCCTCGCTTTCATTCTCATTAAAAATCAAAGATGGCGCTGCCATGAATTAGGCGAATACCAAGCAATGCAATGTCTTTAGCGATGCTGTTAGTGCCCTATTCTTAGACACAAACGAAGATCACAACACTTTTTATGAGTAATCAATGCAGACATTCAGGGCTCAAGTTGATTGAAGAGACCATTAGTTGCTGTGGTCCTACAATCTGCTTACAATGTTTTGGGAATAGCCGTGTTTGCAAACTTTTTCAGTAAAGCCTGTGTATTGGAGTAAATGGATGCTCCAGAAGTACCTGCACTTTTGTCCAGGAAGTATGCCAGCAGACAGCGCATGACGGCCTGATGACATATGACCAAAACGTTCTCCTGGCGCTCAAGCTCCATGATTACAGGCTCTAAACGCTGAACCAGATCCTCATAGGACTGAACACACACACACACACACAAATATATTAACCTTTGCATGTAATGTAAATTGAATTGATTGTGGTATTTCTTTGTTGTTTAAAATCCAGTATTCCTGTAATTCTTTTATGAGTCTTTTATGAGTTCAATAAAGGACTATGTCTCGTCTTCTGTCCAAACATACCGAACTACATCAGTTGACCTGTAAATGCGCAAAAACTGTTTCCATTGGAGTTTTGCGAAATATTTCTTTTTTCGAATTGCCTGAAAAACCTAGCCTGGATGCCAGCCCGAACCCCGCCCACAACATTTTTTGGTCTGGAAGTTCGGTCTGGACTCGATCCATTGAGGAGTAATTATGATCAGACAAGAAACGTTCGGGCCAATCAGATTGCCAGGGCGGGCTTTATGCGATGATGGACAGATGATCTGCAGGGACGTAATCATCACGTTATCAAAGAGCGATGACTGCAGCTGGAGAATTGAGATGTATAGATTACGCTGTCGCGTCTGTTGTAAAATAAATCGACAGCGCATTCATTTTAATAGACAAACAGAGAACTGCAATCAAGGCATTTGTCGATCGGAAAAATATTTTTGGCGTCCTTCCAACATGATTCGGGAAAAGTGTAACTTATCAGCTGGCTCTGACGGTCGTTAAGAAGATGGGACGTAACGAAGAGCCTGTGGTCGTGGTGGTTTCTCCTTTGGTGGCACTCATGGAGGAGTAAGTAAAAGAAGCAACACTCGTTATTTAACTTCTAAAATAAATAAGTTCTGTAGTTGAAAACTGCGCTATGCAAAGGAGTTGACTTACTGCGTTGCTCTGATTGGTTGGTAGGTCTACCGACTATCCAATTGAGTGCAGAGGTTTTTTTTCCTGGTTCGGTTACGACACGCCTCATAATCAAAGGCCAATGGAGGAGTTTCAGACTCATATTCTCAATAGAATATGAGTATGACGAAGTCAGGCTATGAAAAATCACCTCAAAAGTAAAAACTTTTTTGCCAGATATGGGAGTTTTTGCAAAATTTGCATGTTTCTATTTTCAATTCGCAATTTAAATTTGCGCAATTTGAAGGGTACCCACATTTGGCACATGTGGATCTGGGCCACAAGCAGGCCATAGCACTGTCAGCCAAGTGCAAAGAAATAATCCAGAACTGGACCTTATCTGAGCCACAAAATCTGTGTATTAATTGGCTGAATAATCCTGTTTACAAGCATCACCGAAGGAAAGACAAAAGCAGAAAAAGAGACGAGCAGAAACACAAGAACTATACACTGTAAAAAAATATTTTCAAAATTTGTTATCACAACGTATTTTCTTTTGTCAAATCAACTTAAATAATTTATTTACTTATTATTTTGAGTTTCTGATGATTAAATTAATCTCCTTCATTGTATTAACTCACTTTTTTACGGAGGCGTATTGCATTCACTTGAAGAAAAAAAAAATCTACTCTGTTTTTCTGAATTAACAAGTTAATTTTTCATGAGAAAAAAAATGTGCTCTGTTTTTCTGAATTAATGAGTTAATTTGTCATGAGAAAAAAAAAATTTGCTCTGTTTTTCTGAATTAACGAGTTAATTTTTCATGAGAAATTTTTTTTTGCTCTGTTTTTCTGAATTAATGAGTTAATTTTTCATGAGAAAAAAAATTTGCTCTGTTTTTCTGAATTAACGAGTTAATTTTTAATGGAATTTTTTTTTTGCTCTAATGAGTTAATTCAGAAAAACAGAGCAAAAACTTTTTTCTCATGAAAAATTAACTCGTTAATTCAGAAAAACAGAGCAAAAAAAATGTTCTCATGAAAAATTAACTCATTAATTCAGAAAAACAGAGCAAATTTTTTTTTCTCATGAAAAATTAACTCATTAATTCAGAAAAACAGAGCAAAAAAAATTTTTCTCATGAAAAATTAACTCATTAATTCAGAAAAACAGAGCAAATTTTTTTTCTCATGAAAAATTAACTCGTTAATTCAGAAAAACAGAGTAGATTTTTTTTCTTCAAGTGAATGCAATACGCCTCCGTAGCTAGCAGACCCGGCGCAATCATTTTTGGAGTCATTTCAGCAGACGACGTTAAAGCGCAGACATGGCTCATAAATATCGGATTTCTCCGCAGGTTGGATCGGAAAAATCCGATACGTGAATTACGCTGGTATCGGTCCCGATACCGGATCGGATCGGCACCATCCCTACTACTACTGTAACTTCATTAAGTGACACAATATTTAAACAATTGGCAATAAGGATGTTATGATACAACACAATTCAGATTTCTTTCTACTTTAGCACATCTTTACCCATCTCTCCATATGCTACATTCATTCATTTTACTTTTCACAAGCAAAATATAGCAACTCCAAATTGGTGTTGCTAAGAACTGCAATGACCGGGCCTCGAAACACCACCGGCCCAGCGGGAAAAGTCCCATCTGCTCGTCTCTTTTTCTGTTCTCCTCTTTCCTTCAGTGATTCTGCTTGTGAACAGGCTTATTAAGGCTGAGATGACTCCATATTTAAAATACACAGATTGTGTGGCTCAGATAAGGTCCAGTTCTGGATTATTTCTTTGCTCTTGGCTGACATGTGGCATTGCTATGGCCGGCTTCTGGCCCAGATCTGGCAAACAGGAGTGAGCCACCCAAGGGCCGTCATTCCACACTGCATGTGGGCCAGATCATCTTTCCACGTGTGCCAGATGTGGGCCGGATCTGGGCCGTCAATATGTTGCTATGTGGGTAATGGAAACGGAGCGAATATAGACCATTTCACAAGATGTAAACAACACTGGTCCAGAAACACGCCCTGTTTCAGTTTGTAACTGTTTTCTTTATTTCACATGTAAAGAAAACATCTTAAAGATGTTTGTTTAACTTTTTGATTCAGTTTTAAATGCTCTGTTGGTTGTATTTTATCCCAGCTTTTATGTAGTGTTAAAAAACTGAAACAGGAAGTGCTTCTGGACCAGTGTTGTTTACATCTTGTGAAATGGTCTATAATCTTCCGAAAGGCTCACTGCTAAACCAGTAATGCACTGGGCAACACCCAAACACATAAAGCATCCAAAAACATGTCAATCTCTCATTGCTGTTCAGTATCGACACCATTGGATTGCTGTTTGGGTCTCAAAAGTGTCCATGGCCCAGGTGAGTTTTAACAAAGTCCCTTTGAAGGCAAGTCTCTGCCTTATTGTTGATGTGTTGCTTGCCCCAATACACTCACCTCCCCCTTTGGATAGCGGTACCGGTATTTGTCTTGGTCTCTGAGTGCAAACTCCTCAGGAAAGTGTTCTTGAATCTCTTCGTACATCATCTCCTCACACACACCCTGCACACCAACACATGCACTTCATGACAAATATATATATATATATATATATATAATACAAAAATCAAAATGGCAACTGTCTGTGGCTTTTTCCCAGTGTGTACTTCAGTCGATCTCCTATAAGTGCACCTAGACTCACAGCATCAATCTCGTTCAGTGCTTTCCATTGCTCATAGGGCACTCCGATGGCCTCCGCAGTCTGGATGGTTCTCCTCATGTGACTGGTCCAGATCTTCAGGTCCAGGATGGACTGACCCCTGATGTATGTCCCGAGAGCAGCAGCAAACTGACACAACATTGCAGATAAATGAATGAAGTATTTTATTTCTTTTCATTTCCTTTTCCTCTTCAGAATATGGTCATCGATAACAGAGCATATTTAAACAAAATATATAGAAAAAAGCTAACTTATATTTACCTTCCCCTTTTACAAATCTAGATTTGAAACGGCTACTGTTTTCTCTTTACAAAATATCATTGTGGTGAGGGGGGCGTGGTTGGCACGCTGTCTGCACGGAGAGATGAGTCAAGGGGCTGTGCGGTGAGTAAGTGGATCAAGGACAAGTGATAACACCTGTGTCTGATTCCAGTGATTGGTGTGGAGAGACGGTTAAAGCCAGCACAGTGGGAGAAGAACGGGGAGAGAGAAAGGACTGGGACTTGTGCAGCGATCGAGTGGAAAGAGTGCTGGAGGAAGCAAGGAGAGCTGAATCAGCGTGGAAAGAGTTTGATTGAAGTTGTGCTGTGCTGTAGCGAGACTACGGTGAACGCGCTTTGTGCGCACCTTTTGTTTTGTTTGATTCTGAGTAAATAAAGTCTGTACAAGTCCCAGTATCGCCGACCCTGTCTCCTTCTTCCTATACCTCTACTAAGAACTGTATTACACTGGTGCCGAAACCCGGGAAGAAGGAGTCTGCCGCCGCCATGCAGAGCCCGTCAGGATCGCCATTTGCGGACATCATTCAGTCACTCGCGGCTCTTCAGCGCGACCAACATCAAGCCCTGCTGAGCATGAAGGAAGAACAGGATCAGCGCTTCCAGGCGCTGCTCCAAGGCCAGCAGGAGGACCGCGAGTTGTTCCGGAGCTGCCTCGGCCGGGAGATTCCGGCCACTCCCCCACCAGCATCAGCCTCGGCCACACCATTGACCCTCGGGAAGATGGGTCCACAGGACGACCCGGAGGCGTTCCTGGACCTTTTCGAGAGGTCGGCCGAGGCCCGGGAGTGGCCCAAAGAAGACTGGCCGTTGCGTCTCATCCCGCTGTTGTCCGGTGAGTCCCAGATCGCCGCCCACCAACTGCCAGTCTCGAATCTCCTGGTCTACGACGACCTAAAGCGCGCCATCATTCAGCGGGTCGGCCGGACCGCCGAACAGCACCGACAACGCTTTAGGTCCCTGACCTTAGAAGAGGCCGGCCGGCCCTTCGTGTTGGCGCAACAGCTCCGGGACTCCTGCCGCAAATGGCTGATGGCCGAGGGTAGCGACGTCGAGAAGATAATCAATCAAGTGGTGCTGGAGCAGTTCGTGGGGAAGCTTCCAAAGAGAACTGCCCAATGGGTCCAGTGCCACCGCCCGACGTCGCTGGACCAGGCCATCCAACTGGCGGAGGATCACATGGTGGCGTGCTCGGGGGTCGGCGAATCCCTCCCATCGGTCTCTCTCTCTCCCTCTCTCTCTCTCTCTCTCTCTTCTAAGCCTCTCCCCGCTCCCAGGTCTCGAGGGGGCCTGGTGCCCCGCCCAGCGCCGCGGTGGAAGGCTGGCTGGCCGACGGATAGCGGTGCCGCGGGGAGAACGGGTCCGCGGGGGCCGACCGCGGGGGACACATCCACCCTGGTTCCGGGGACAGCCCTCTCCCCACGTCAATCCCTTGGCCCCCTTCCCTCCGCTGGGGCAGCGGTAAAGCCTGGGCCGGCTTGTTGGCGCTGTGGGGACCCGGACCACTTTATTGACCGGTGTCCAGTGATGGAGGTGGGGACCCTGGTCCGGATCCCCGACGCGCCAACGGCCGCCCCCGATCAAGCTGGCCTGTACCAGATACCCGTGAGTATAAAGGGGGGTACTTATCAGGCTTTGGTGGATTCGGGTTGTAACCAGACCTCTATTCATCAAAGCCTGATTCGATCCGGGGCATTGGATAAAAGCCGTGTGGTTAGGGTGCGGTGTGTGCACGGGGTGGTGGAGAGTTATCCCTTAATGTCCGTCGCGGTTCTATTTCGGGGACAAAAACATAGTGTGGAGGTGGCAGTTAACCCGCGCCTCCAGCATCCGCTGATCCTGGGAACTGATTGGCCAGGTTTTGCGAAACTATTGGGGATTTTATGTGCGGATGCCTCTTGGGAAACGAAGCAGCGGGGGAAGACAGCGGTGGTGCAGGTGGGGGATGCTGTACCGGGACCTCTGGGTGCTGCTGCAGGGGAAGAGAGAGCTTTAGAGAGAAATCTCCTCTCTGAGCGCGATGATTTTCCCCTGGAGCAGTCCCAGGATGAAACGCTCAAACATGCGTTTGGTTCGGTCCGTTCCATCGACGGACAGCTACTCCACCCGGACCAACCGCTCTCGTACCCCTATTTTTGCGTGATTAAAGATCGGTTGTATCGGGTGACCCAAGACGCCCAGACAAAGGAAGATACAACCCAGTTGTTAGTGCCAAGGAGCCGCCGGGAAATGCTTTTCCAGGCGGCTCATTGTAATCCGATGGCCGGACATTTAGGGCAACGGGCGACACTAAACCGTCTCATGGCCCGATTCTTCTGGCCGGGCATTCACGAGAATGTGCGCAGGTGGTGCGCGTCTTGTCGTGAATGCCAGTTGGTGAATCCACCGGCCAATCCAAAAGCACCCTTGTGCCCCCTTCCACTGATGCAGGTCCCCTTCGAACGAATTGGTATGGACCTCGTCGGGCCATTAGAACGGTCAGCACGAGGGCATCGTTTTGCGTTAGTCTTGGTGGATTACGCAACACGATATCCGGAGGCAGTTCCGCTCCGCAACATCTCGGCTAAGAGTGTGGCAAGCGCGCTGTTCTCATTAATCTCCCGGGTGGGGATCCCTAAGGAGATCCTCACCGATCAAGGCACGGCGTTTATGTCACGAACGGTTCGCGAACTGTATGAATTACTGGGCATTAAATCGATTCGTACCAGCGTCTATCACCCACAAACGGATGGTCTGGTCGAACGTTTTAATCGCACGTTAAAAACCATGATTCGTAAGTTCGTTCACGAAGACGCCAAAAATTGGGACAAGTGGCTGGAACCCCTATTGTTTGCTGTACGCGAGGTCCCCCAAGCCTCCACGGGGTTTTCCCCCTTCGAGCTTCTCTTCGGTCGTCAGCCTCGTGGGGTGTTAGACGTGCTGAGGGAGACTTGGGAGGACGGACCGTCTGCTAGTAAGAACGAAATTCAGTATGTCCTGGACCTGAGAACAAAACTCCACACCCTGGGGCGGCTATCATTGGAGAATTTGTTACAGGCTCAGAACAGACAGAAACAGCAGTACAATAGGGGGGCTAGACTCCGACAATTTTCACCGGGAGATAAAGTGCTTGTATTACTCCCCACGTCCAGCTCGAAATTACTTGCAAAGTGGCAAGGGCCCTTTGAGGTCACACGGCGAGTCGGGGATCTCAACTATGAGGTAGTTCGAACAGACAGGGGCGGGGGACGTCAGATGTACCACCTCAACCTACTAAAAAAGTGGGTTGAGGCGGAGGCAGTGATGCTGGCGACGGTGGTGAGTGGGGAGGAGGACCTCGGGCCAGAGGCGAGGGTTAAATCTCAGTCCTTCTCTCTCTCTCGCCCTCACAGCTCACTGATATTAAAAGGGTACAAGCGGAGTTTTCTGACGTGTTCTCGCCCCTGCCTGGTCGAACGAATCTCATTCAGCACCACGTTGAGACAGATCCGGGGGTCGTTGTGCGTTGCCGTCCGTATCGATTACCTGAACACAAGAAGAAAACGGTTCAGGCCGAATTAGAAACCATGCTGGACATGGGGGTAATAGAAGAGTCCAACAGTGACTGGGCCAGCCCGATAGTTTTAGTTCCAAAACCTGACGGCTCGGTTCGATTCTGTGTGGACTATAGAAAGGTGAACGCGGTGTCCAAATTCGATGCTTATCCAATGCCGAGGATTGACGAATTGCTTGATCGGCTTGGCTCTGCTCGCTTTTATTCGACGCTGGACTTAACAAAGGGGTATTGGCAGATCCCCTTATCTCCAATGTCCAAAGAAAAGACAGCTTTTACCACGCCGTTCGGGTTACACCAATTCGTCACGCTTCCGTTCGGGTTGTTCGGGGCACCGGCGACTTTTCAGCGTTTGATGGACAGAATCCTCCGGCCGCATGCTGCGTATGCCGCGGCGTATCTGGATGACATTATCATCTATAGCAATGATTGGCAGCGGCATATGCAGTATTTGCGTGCTGTCCTAAAAACGCTGAGAAGGGCCGGGCTCACGGCGAACCCGAAGAAGTGTGCAATTGGGCGGGTAGAAGTAAGGTATCTGGGCTTCCACTTGGGTCACGGGCAGGTGCGTCCCCAAATTGATAAGACAGCAGCGGTTGCAACCTGTCCGAGTCCTAAGACCAAAAAGGAGGTTAGACAGTTCCTGGGGCTAGCGGGATACTATAGACGATTTGTGCCTAATTATTCGGACCTCGCTAGCCCGCTGACTGATCTGACTAAAAAGGGCGCTCCAGATACGGTCCAGTGGACGGAGCAGTGCCAGCAGGCTTTTACCCAGATAAAGGCTGCTCTGTGCGGGGGACCGCTTTTACATGCTCCTGACTTTTCTCTCCCTTTTATCCTGCAGACAGATGCGTCGGACAGGGGCTTGGGCGCGGTCCTGGCCCAGGAGGTGGAGGGGGAGGAACGGCCGGTGCTGTACATCAGTCGGAAGCTCTCTAAGAGAGAGACGATGTACAGCACCATTGAGAAGGAGTGTTTGGCCATCCGCTGGGCTGTCCTCACCCTCCGCTACTACCTCCTGGGACGGGAGTTCACCCTGTGTTCGGACCACGCTCCCTTGCAGTGGCTCCACCGCATGAAAGATACCAACGCGCGGATCACCCGTTGGTATCTGGCGTTACAACCTTTTAAGTTTCAGGTTGTCCACAGGCCGGGGGCGCAGATGGCTGTGGCCGACTTCCTCTCCAGGAGGGGGAGGGGGGGGCTGCAGGCCGGACGGTTCCCCGGCCTGAGTCGGGCGGTGGGGGTATGTGGTGAGGGGGGCGTGGTTGGCACGCTGTCTGCACGGAGAGATGAGTCAAGGGGCTGTGCGGTGAGTAAGTGGATCAAGGACAAGTGATAACACCTGTGTCTGATTCCAGTGATTGGTGTGGAGAGACGGTTAAAGCCAGCACAGTGGGAGAAGAACGGGGAGAGAGAAAGGACTGGGACTTGTGCAGCGATCGAGTGGAAAGAGTGCTGGAGGAAGCAAGGAGAGCTGAATCAGCGTGGAAAGAGTTTGATTGAAGTTGTGCTGTGCTGTAGCGAGACTACGGTGAACGCGCTTTGTGCGCACCTTTTGTTTTGTTTGATTCTGAGTAAATAAAGTCTGTACAAGTCCCAGTATCGCCGACCCTGTCTCCTTCTTCCTATACCTCTACTAAGAACTGTATTACAATCATAATTTGTCCTTTTTGAGAAAAAAAATTTAAAAAACGTAATCATTTGCAGTACAATTTATCTAAAAATAAGTCACACAATACAATTATAACGTGAAAAAGAAAAAGAAAAATAATAAATAAAAAAAACACAAAATGTAATACTGACAATAATATGAATATTAATGGAATGGCAAGAAACAGACTGTATAATAATTCAGTCAATAATTCAGTTTCATTAATAAATGAAAACATTATTGTAATCTTCAAAATCGTGAACTTTATTAAAGGCATTTTTGACTTTTAAATTGTTAAATGCATCATTCTGCAAAAACACGAGGAGAATTCTCCACATGAAGGACCCTCAACTGGAAGATCAATGTGCTATGTCTTTTATTTTATTCTTTATTGGATTTATTATAACTGAATTGTGGTTCGGTTATAATAAACACTTAAAACATCATCAATCCAGGACTCATTGAAAGTTCTGCTCCGTTGTTTTAGATTTGCGCTGACCTTCTTTCCTTGTGCAGAGAGACCGGAGTCCCCTCCGATGCGGCCCGAGACGTTGAGTTCACTCTCTCCGTGTCGACAGAGGTAGATGGTGCGAGGGGTGACGTGGATGTTCATCAGGTAGTAGACGATCCTGCTCTGAATATGGTCCTGAACCTGATTCGCCAGGTACCTGCTGCCCACGTTAAAGATCTTAATGTATGACAGGTTCCTGTGGACACACAGTAATGATGAGCACTTCCACTACTGTCATGTCAAACAACAGATGTACCCTTGCTGTGAAAACTGTATCATACCACTTCCCTTTAAAACAGTAATATACCGTAGAAAACAGTCCATTCTGGGAAATATGTTGTTTTCGAGGAAAATATACTGTGAGTTAACCATCAGCACTGATCCTCAACGACTCGTCTCCATACCGGCCTGATTACTTCGACTTCCAAACAGATGGAAATGGACAATTCTCTTAATGGTTTGATCCAATTTGTTTTGTAATCACTGTTCCTTCGTTGGCCCCCGACTGAGCATGGGTTCTCCCAAGGTTTTTTTCTCCATTCAATCGCCTGATGAAGTTTTGGTTTCTTGCACTGTTGCCTTGCTTTCGGCTTGCTTAGTTGGGGACATTTAATATTTAACAATATTATTGATCTGCCTTAATTAAAGGAGTAGTTCACTTTTGAAAAAAACTTTTGCTGATAATTTACTCGCCCCCATGTCATCCAAGATGTCCATGTCTTTCTTTCTTTAGTCGAAAAGAAATGAAGGTTTTTGATGAAAACATTCCAGGATTTTCTCCATATAATGGACTTCAATGGGGTCCAAAAGACAGTTTCAGTGCAAACTGTTCAAAGGGCTTTAAACGACACCAGACGACGAATAAGGGTCTTATCAAGCGAAACGATCGCTCATTTAATAAATAAATAACAAAGTTTAAGTTTTATAAGCTCAAACGCTCGCCTTGCTCTGTTCTGTGTGACTCTCCTGTTCGAACTCGTTCATCAAAATAAACAAATCTTTTTCCAAGTCATTTGGTTCATTCGGCGAAAGAAACGAACGAATTGATTCGGAAAAAGATTCGTTCATTTTGATGAACGAGTTCGAACAGGAGAGTCACGAACGCGCATCACAGAACAGAGCAAGGCGAGCATTTGAGCTTATAAAACTTAAACTTTGATATTTATTTATTAAATGAGCGATCGTTTCACTTGATAAGACCCTTATTCATCGTCTGGTGTCGTTTAAAGCCCTTTGAACAGTTTGCACTGAAACTGCCTTTTGGACCTTGAACCGTTTGGTTCCCATTGAAGTCCATTATATGGAGAAAATCCTGGAATGTTTTCATCAAAAACCTTAATTTCTTTTCGACTGAAGAAAGAAAGACATGGACATCTTGGATGACATGGGGGCGAGGAAATTATCAGCAAAAGTTTTTTGAAAAGTGAACTACTCCTTCAAGGTGTACGATGACGGAATTTTCTTCTAGAAACAAACTTGTTGTATTATTTTCATGTTATCACTGTGAAGCTGCTTTATATTCTCTACATTAGCTCACTAATATAGTGCACTTGTGAGAGGGAATGAAAAGAAGTGAGTGAATTCAGACACTGATAAACACAGAGAAACAAGAGAAACACAAGAACTACAACTGACTTCCAGCCACACTGAGTGTGAAACCAGTTTACAAACCAGTTTAACATTATTTCTTTCATACATGTACAAAAGTACTTGTTGAGAATTAACAGAGTTGTTTATGTTTTATTGAAATGCACGAAATGCATTTAACAGTGATAAACTGTAAGTTATAAAACACTGTCACCAATAATTACAAATTTTGGTCCCCCCCAAAAAAGCCTGGTGAATTACAGTATGGGCGAAAGTGTTTCACCTGTCTTTGTCATCATCTAAAGGAACATATGCGAGTTTGTAGCAGTCTATTCTCTTGAGGAAGTCCGTCACAGCCTCGTCTTCATCACAGTCAGCGTAATCAGGACTGCTCAGCTTCACTTGCTGCAGATTCAGACGGAAAGCAAAAAGGTCTTTCACAAACATACAGTATCATTCAATACAAACTTTCAAGAAATTTCCAGATCATAGTTTAATAATTATGCAGCTCAAGAAATAAATATATATTTGAAACACATCATATACATTCATCACATCATATATCATTTTAAACACGTGAAATAAATCGTATTACCTTGATGTTTGCTGCAATGATTTCTGGGTCATCACAAAGAGACTCAATAAAAAAGACCTACAAGAAGGATAATTCAATGTAAACTTAAAAATAATATATTGTAGAGATATTTTTAATTCATTTCTAAAGATGAAGCATTAATTTTGATGAATATCGACTCATCAATTCACCTGTTTCACTCACTTTATAGCCGTTCTCTTTAGCGAAGGTGAGAATCACCTCTCTACGTTCTCTTGTTGTGTTGGTCGCGTCGAACACCTGTGGGGAATTTCATTTCCAGAACTGGCTTGATTATCATCGAGAATCATCATAGAGTTTTTACAATATATTTACACTGTAAAATGAAATTAGTTCAAAACAAGAAAAAAAATGCCTTAAGGATTAAGGATGTTTTACTCAAAATCGTTAGTTTTCTTAAATAAAAACATACAAAAAGTGAAAAAAAAAGTGTCAAGAGAATGACAGAACATTAAACACTAGCATATCTCTCAAAAACAGCTTTACCAGCTTCACTTATTACTAACAGTTTGACTTAATTTCTGTCATACATCTACAGGAGTTCTTATTGAGAATTAACAGAATATATATGTTACAGTCACCATTGTGGTGATCAGTGTTTCCTTTAGTTGGGAAACAACTACAGCTATTCTTACAAGAATAAAAGCTTGTAAAGACACTATCATTATTTGCTTTTTCAATTTCAGCTTCACCATAATTAAATTGCTTAGTTATTTTACATTTAAATACAATTCACAAAATTACTATTTTGTCTATGTTTTCAATAAAATAAACAGCCTTGGTGAACATAAAACATTCAAAAACATGTTTAAAAATGTTAAATATTTCCAACTGGCTGGTTGTGTATAAAACATTAATCAGAAACTACTGTGATGATACATATGGCCTTATTAGCTGCTAATTGTTCAGATAAAGTTAAGTTTCTAATCACAGCTCTTCTAAATTCATCAAGATCTGTGGAAAACGTTTGTAACTATCGTCCGTGTTCAGATGTGTGTGTGTGTGTGTGTGTGTGCTTGTCACTTACTGCAACTTGTCCATGATCCTGAGTGAAGTAACAACAAACGTCTTTCAACGCCGCCAGAGCACACGCTCTAAAGCACAATTTACCAGAAAACTAAAATACAATAACACAATAAAATACAATAAAATACAATGAGAACTGAACTGAGCTGGATGATGACATCACTGTTTCTCCAGGTGTCCTTGTTACAGTGTTGCAGTTATAGTTATATATATATATTTAAGTACTGAAAAATATCAAGCACCTACATTTACTTACTATAGGGTTAGGATAGGATAAGGATTACACTGTAAAAAATATTTTCAAGATTTGTCAAATCAACTTTATAATAATTTATTTAGTTGAGATAACTTATTATTTTGAGTTTCTGATGGTTAAATTAATCTACTTCATTGTATTAACTCACTTTTTCCAGTTCAATGAACATAAAATTTTAAGGCAACCAGGTTACTTACTTTTTTAAGTTAAACCATCAATATTTTTTTACAGTGTAGGATTTGGTTGAGTGTTAGTTGCATGTAATTATGCATCATTTACTGTTATTTCTATGGTAAATATATGCAACAAGGACACTATAAAGTCAAGTGTTACCATTATTTTAAATATATTTTTCATTATTTACACCATATATATGTTGATCAATATATTCTCATTCTTATTGGGTGAATATTCAGAACAAAAGCATAATTGTGAGTGTGATAAACAAGAACTTGATATTAATGTTGGAGAAACAGCACTCCTTCTCATGTGATGTTACTTAAATGAAGCTCTGTAGTGTAAGTGTGAGTTTCTCACTTGCGAATCTTCATGGCCTCTTCGTTGTCTGGGAGGAAGAATTCGTAACTCTTATAGGTGTGTACGGCGTCCCTTCGGTACTGTCCAACGTTAAACACTGTCAAAATAGCTTCACATCAGTGACTGTTTACTGCAAGAAATAATGCTCTATGATTTTATTTGGTCTACAGAGGCACATATTACGTATAGACTTGTGTTCTTTAAAGAGCATTTTGACAAAAAACATTTTGACAAATTTGCTTAATTAACATTGAAAATCCCCCAAATGACCACTCTGACTGTTATCAATAAAAATGTACAGAGTTCAATATACCAGTCTGCAATGACCTGTACTGACCAATAAGTGTAAAATAGAAAAATATTAGTGCCTAAATCAACCAGTAGCCTTGACATTTTTTTGTTTTTTTAAATATTATTACAGTTAATTTATACGGAGGCGTGTTGCATTCACTTGAAGAAAAAAAATCTACTCTGTTTTTCTGAATTAATGAGTTAATTTTTCATGAGAAAATTTGTTTTTGCTCTGTTTTTCTGAATTAACGAGTTAATTTTTCATGAGAAATTTTTTTTTTGCTCTGTTTTTTCTGAATTAATGAGCTAATTTTTCATGAGAAAAAAAGTTTTTCTCTGTTTTTCTGAATTAATGAGTTAATTTTTTGTGAGAAAAAAAAAAGTTTTTGCTCTGTTTTTTCTGAATTTTTTTCTCGTTAATTCAGAAAAACAGAGCAAAAAAAAAATTCCATGAAAAATTAACTCATTAATTCAGAAAAACAGAGCAATTTTTTTTTTTCTCATGAAAAATTAACTCGTTGATTCAGAAAAACAGAGTAGATTTTTTTTTCTTCAAGTGAATGCAATACGCCTCCGTACATTTAGGCTTTGTTGATATTAAAGTGTTAATTTTTTTAAGCAATTTTGTGTCTCATTTGCATATAGCCATTTTTTCATCCATTTGCCAAATTGCACAAATAAATAATAGAACATCATTGTAGATATTAGCTTTGATATTCGCCATTATTAACTCTATTTCAATACGCATGCAAGATTACAGTTTATCTTCATTGCTAAATACACTATAACTAATTACAGGGGTTGGACAATGAAACTGAAACACCTGGTTTTACAACACAATAATTTGTTAGAATGGTGAGGGCCTCATTTTGCATCCAAATACAGCCACAAGTCTTGCTGTGTGTGTTGGTGCATGATCATGCGGTTTGAGCATCAGGTGCTCATGATCCTCCAGAAGGGTTTGGTAGTCCTCGGCAGTGTCGTGTCCATCAAATACAATCAGGATTGTCATTATATTGGAGCTCAAACCATCACTGATCCACCCGTGCTTCACTCTGAAGATTGGCCGCCAGAACCTCCAACATTGGCCAGTGTTTCAGTTTCATTGTCCAACCCCTGTACATTTTAAAATCTATGCCCACAATTTTTTACTAAATGTTTAAGATTTTTGAGAAAAGGAAGCATAGTTTCAAGAAACGTTTTAAAGCAATAAAGAAAAACTGTAATGTGTGAGAAAATGTTGTGCTTCTACCTGTTTCTTAAAATGAAATGTTTGTATAATATGATGCTTCCATGAATAATAATTCTCACCCTTGGTGGGAACGCCGATCCAGTTGAGGTAGCGCGTGAGTTTCTTGGAGATGTAGGTCTTTCCACGGGCTGGCAGACCGACCATCACTATCATGGTGGGAGAGTTGGTGAACTGCGGGACTGATGCTGAAACAACCACACACATTACAATGTCTAATTACAGTAAATCAATTAATCCCATGATAGTTTATCAACACACATTATAGTAAACTAACATTTCATTTCAAACTGACGCATCATTTAATATGGTTTTATAATGGGTTTCTTTAACCCTTGTGCATCAATTAAAAAAAGTTACACATAGGTAAAAAGAGGACAAAAATGTCCATGTCAAAAAACTCATAAAAATGTGACGCTTTGGAGCACAGACTTAAGTTTGGTATCATTTTAAAGAAGATCCTTTGCAGATTATTGCTGAAGTAAAAAAAAAAAAAAAAAAAAGTTATATAGGTATAAGTTTATGAAAATTATTTATAAAAAAATATTTTATATAAAACATATATTTTATAAATCAGGTTGAACTCTAAACTGCAATAAAATCAAAGCCATAAATCTAAATAGGTTGTGTTCCAAATTTGAGGATGATATCTCAAAAAATGAGCTTTGGGTAACAGTTTGTTTGGGTGTAGTAACATATTTTCTCATATCAGTCCTGTGTGTGTGTGTGTGTGTGTGTGTGTGTGTGTGTGTGTGTGTGTGTGTGTGTGTGTGTGTGTGTGTGTGTGTGTGTGAATGGCAATGACCTGGACTCGAGTGAGGTGAATAGCCCAGAGGACACAAACCATCATACACTGTCAAACTATAACACACACACACACACACAAAACACACACAAACACACACAAAACTGATTTTTATCACAATTACTCACATAACAAAAGTATAAGAAAAAGTGAAGAGTTCAGATGCAAAAGCCTCTAAGTGCCATTTAAAATTTTCTTCTAAAATGATCATTTTTATCAAGCTTGTATATTTAAGTTCAGTAATTTCACTTAAATGGCAATGAAGATTACCTATTAATTGTAATTTAAGTGAAATTACTGAACTTAAATATACAAGCTTGATAAAAATGACCATTCTAGAAGAACATTTCAAATGGCATTTAGAGGCTTTTGCATCTGAACTCTTCAAGTATTCTTTTATAATAAAAGAAAAAATATTCTCTGTATGATTTTATTTTAAAGCATTTTCACTATGCAATATGCTTTTCATCTGTCTACATACTAACTACACTTCTTACTTTTATGGAGGTTATGGTGGTTTTATGAAAATTGGTCCAGTTTGCAAGATACTTGTTCCAATTTGCTGATATATTGTGTCAGCATAATGAATAAAAAAGATGTAGTCTTATAACTGATGGCAAGAACACAGAAAGAGTCAGGATCACCTTTATCTATATAGCGCTTTTTACAATACAGATAGTTTCAAAGCAGCTTCACACAGCAAAGATTGAGAGAGATGTTTGACTTACAGCCTCTTCTCTGTCTCAGTCTGCTGCTCATCCACGGCACCCAGATCTTCTCCAGACGCTTTTGTGTAAGTTCCATTACGTGTATTTATTCTGTGTAAGATATGTACAGGTGTGTATGATAAATGCACAAAGTGACCTGTCTTCTCTGACGCATGCGTAACCTTGTCCACTTTGCAGCAGATGTGTTTAAACGGGTGAACCCTGGTCGAGGAGGCGCATCGAGCACCTGTAACAGCCGATCAATATTCACTACAAAACAAGCTTGATCTCAATTATGCAACTAATAATCATTCAAATAATTCCTCCTTTCCATCATCGAATCATGAAGGCCTGTAATGGATTCATTATATTCTCATTAAAACACTTCCCTCATTGATTCATGGTTATTTTAAAATCACTCGAAGTTTTGAACTTTAATATAATACTTGGCATGAGTCCATAAATATACGTTTTGTATTTGATAAACACAATTCCAAATGCATTTCCATTATAATAGCCTACATCATTTAATGTTGTTGTCTGATGATGGTTATTTTATGAAATTTTATGAAATGTCATTAGATGCACAAAAAAGGGCCATTTTGAGTTTTGGAGTTAATTTAGAAAAGTGCTCAAAGACCAGATAATATAAAGATGCCTTAAAAAAACAACTCGAGAAACCCCATATAAAGTCATTACCACTATTTTAAACTGCTGCTGTTGACACTGAAAATTGTGTTTTCTCGGAAAATGCATATTTGATAAATTATATTCTTGATTAATAATAAATCAAATCTTACTGATAAAACCCTGAATGGTTTATCTCCTCATACTTTAGCAAATTCTTAAAGTACTTCACGTTTATTGCGATCTCAAAATTCTGGCCAGTTGATAATACCTAAAGGAAACTGGGAACACTTCCCTAACATTTGATGTACTTATTACATCGTAAGATGAATGGCATTATAAATATCTCTCCCTGCGTCTCAATGCAGTGTTGTAGTACTCGAGACTCGGACTCGTCTCGGACTCGAGACCATATTTTAATGGTCTTGGTCTTGTCATGGACTCGTGTCCATTTGGACTCGGAATTGACTCGTACTCAAACATTTTTTTTTTTTTCAGGACTCGGACTTATTCCCGAGTCCACTCGAGTTCAATTCAAAATATTTTTCATTATTATTAATGTATGTTAATAAAATATTTCTTTAAATTGATTGACACGCCCAGTGATTGGTGATTTTCTAGTGCGCAACTGCGCACTATTCTAAAAATATCAAAAATGAAACTACTGCGGAAACAAAGACATCTACATCTTGGATGCCCTTGAGGTAAGATAAAACACACCAAAAATTAATTTCAAAGTGAACTATCCCTTTAATATTCAACAATATTATTGATTTGCCTGCATTGACACCATTGTATGAGAACTGACGATGACATCACTGTGTTCTCCAGAGCTGCTGTGTAGATAAATTAATTAAATTAAAAACTTTTTTACAAAAGAAATGAATCAACACTAAACTTACTTAAGCTGGACACAGACTCTATTTTATTCTAGATCTGCTGTACAGCCAAAACAAAATTTGTAGCATTATTTTCATGTTATCTCTGTAAAGTTGCTTTGAAACAATCTATAAAAAATGCATCTTGTTAAATGCGCTATATAAACAACGGTGACTTAACTTGACTTTTAATATCTATTGTGCATGTAATGCATTGCATGTCAATTGCATTGATTAAATAAACATTTATTCTTAAACATTTAACTGAAGACTCGGCATGATAAGTATTATTATCATGGAATATTACAAAATTCCTACTAAATGCATGCAGTTTAAATATCTCTGTGCGAGTTATTTGTATATCATCTGTATGGAATGATATAACGAGCAAAAGCTAAGATTAATAATTAGCCATCAGTCGATATCAGGTATCTGGAGCATGTAGATAACGTGCTAGTTTACTTAAGCCAGGGCTCTTCAACTCTAGTCCTGGAGGGCCAGTGTCCAGATAGTGTTAACTCTAACTCTAACTAAACAAACTGCAGCTGGATGTAGCCGATCGGAAGAGTAGCCGCTCACAGTCGGCAGGAGCTGAACAAGGAGATGTGAAGTCTGACACTTTCTGCTTCCCGTAGTGACGCTCGTGCAGTGTTTGCATATTTTATCATAGCTGAACTTAAATAAATGCAATTGTAACAATGTTCACAAATAAAAAGGACGAAGAAGTCAGGTCAGCAAGTTCTCAGTTTCTTTCTTTATTTCTCTCTCTCAAACAAAATAAAATAGGGGTCCTGCGCAGTAAACATAAAGCAGTCCTTTAAACCACATTAACCCTTGTGCATTAATTAAAAAAAATGTCCATGTCAAAAAACTGTCATAAAAATGTGACGCTTTGGAGCACAGGTATCATTTTAAAGAAGACCCTTTGCAGATTATTGCTGAAGTAAAAAAATAATAATAAGTAAATCCAAATAAAAGTTATATAGGTATAAGTTTATGAAAATTATTTATAAAAAATATTTTATATAAAATATATATTTTTTTAAAATCAGGTTGAACTCAAAACTGCAATAAAATCAAAGCAAATAAATCTAAATAGGTTGTGTTCCAAATTTGAGGATGATATCTCAAAAAATGAGCTTTGGGTAACAGTTTGTTTGGGCGTAGTAACATATTTTCCCCATTGGGTGGCAGCAAAACCCCACTGGAGCTCACAGTGATTGGATTTGAATTTGCAGTTTTTCTCTCTCAGTATTACAAACACACACATGTATAACACACATACTAACCACACTCTGACATCCATACCAACACACCCACACAAATATTGGTGCATAATTTATCCAGTTGGCTCTATAATATGCCGAAGCAGAAAACAGGAATAAAGCGATATTTGTTTTATAGGCCAAACTTAAAAAAAAGACACCATCTGCTAAAAAAAATAGTAAAAAATAAAATTTTGAAGCCTTGCCATCAGAATGAAAGCCTCTTAACAAAGATTACATTATTTTATAGTTAACTGAACCGGGGATTAAAAATGGCAGTTTCAATGGGGACATTTTTGTCCAAAAGGTGCTGAGAGGGATTATTTTTTTTATTTTATTTTGTTAAGAAAATGACGATGAAATAGTAAAATTCCAATAAAAATACACATCTGTGCCAATTTTTTTGCAGTTAGCTTTAACACAGGCAACGTGATCAAAAAAACAAAACTGAAAAGGACAAAAATGTCCATCAGGATGCACACGGGTTAAATACTGAATGTCCTCCTATTCAGGTCTTCAGACTCTATTTATCCCGTCTCTCCGCCAGTTACTGGGTTTCTCATCACTCGCTCTCCCTGTGCAGACTCCGCTCCGCTCCCAGATTAATCATCTCTCCTCTAGTCTGTGGCCTCGTCTAATAATGTTCAAAAAGAGGCTCGCAACCTACTGAAGTGGTGTATAACTGACACAGCTTACAAAGATCAAGTCATTCATTTGTTTTGCAGATTTAGAAAATGCTTTCATCTCCTCTGACCCGTCGTCTACTGTAATGCAACTTTATCTGGTGTTAGCCGGACTTTTAACACTCACTCAGAGAACTGACCGCTTTACACTGACCCCTGCTTATAGTGCTATAGTGAGTTTAAGACTTGATTTAGAGATTGTGCTGCTTGTTTTTAAAGCCTTGCAGGGCCAGGGAAAATACTTAACAAATAAACAAAAAATGCAAAACTCAAATAAATATCCCACAACACTTCTGCTCTGGGTTTGAAATCAGTTTATTGAAAAACACATTAGTAAAGAGCATATGGACAGAACGGTACACACACTCGTGTAAGCGAAGGTTAACATCACGTGACCGACACTGAGCAATATTTGAGCTATTAAAATACGGCTTCCTCTATGACTGGACTGAGTCGGTCAGGATCTCACTGCTGTGATAGTAAACACTAGATCAGGCAGATCAAGTCTAGCTATAGTATACAGTGTTTTATTATAACGGTGTGCGTGTGTTTATGAGTAAACGGCTGTATGATCTAATATATGACCATGAAACATGTTATGATGGGAATGTGATGCCCAAGAAATCCATGCGTAATCAAACATTCATGAAAAGCAGGCTTTATTTTTCAAGAGTAAAATTAGGACAAAAAAGGGATTATACAATTCTGTTACCAAACGACTAAAACAACTGACTCGCGTGGACTCGAACTCAACCGTGACGATGATTTGCACTATAAAGCAAAGTTAAAAGTGTAAAAAAGTCAGACTAATCTAGTTTTCAAGGATTCATCAGAAGGACATGATTGCCAGAAGAAACTCATAATGAAACAAGAACTGATCTCTAGAAAACACACGTTTTGAAGAACGTGATTGTGTCACTCATTGGGATTGGGATTGGCGTCAGGATACTGGGAGAGGTCAAAGGTCAGGACTTTACTGATGACGCAGTCTCCTTGCTGTGGACACAGACAGACAAAGGTCACGCATAGGAAATATGCTGTGACTCATATCTCCACCAGAATTATATAATAATAAGTCATATTACCCATCCCTAAGCAGTTTCATCGAGCCGCTGACTTAAAGTCATAATACAACACTGAGTGTGTGTGTGTGTGTGTGTGTGTGAGCACTGACCTCTGGATACACTCCGATCAGGGAGTCTGCCTTGGTGTAAAACTCCTCTTTCAGGGAGATCACGATGGCCTGGAAGTTCTGCACCGACTGGTCCTTGATGTAGTTGGCGACCTGCAGAACAGGCGAATCAGTGTCTAGATCACGAGCAGACATGTTCAGCTCAGGGTCATGCTGTCCGTCACGACATGTGGGCTGGCAATTCACCATCTCTAATCTCGGTTTGATTTCTAATGATATTAACATGAGATTCCCTGTCCCGCGAGTTTGAACCACAGACTGTAAAAACTGAACTGATTTGTGGGTATCAGTATGCGGGAGTCTCCCGTTTTCCATCACAGATTTTCCAAACGTCGATAAAAAACTATTGCGAAATGACGGTGTTTCCATTAACTGATGTTTTGCGACTAAAACGTCTTTTTTTCCTCTCGCGATAAGTCATTCCGAAAATCATGGCAACAGACTTTAGTAGGTTTATATTTCACAGCCAACGCACCGCACTAGATATTATTATTATTATTATTATTAATGGAAGGAGACGTGGTGTGTTATCCAAGCAGGGAAAGACACAGAGTTCCTGG